ATTAAAATTTCTAAATTTTAACTTGAAATATAATCGGAATGTTATCAGTATAATCAGAGTATTTTCAATAAATTTGGGAAAAAATTGGAGTGTATCTGACAAAATTTTTTATAGGTTTAAAGATGATCTATTTGAATAAAAATGTGAGTGCTGATATACTTTGGCATTATGAACACTACCAGGCTAACCAACATTATAATCTAAAAAAATATCTCTATGATCAATAATACCCTGACAATGCAAAGCATATCTTTTCTTTCTTGTAAAATAAACTTCCTTATCCTTTGTTGAAGCATTTTGTAAAATGAAATGGGATCCATCTATTGATCCAATAATATCTTCAATACCTCCAATTGTTTTAAATTCTTCATGTACAAATTTTCTAACTTGACTATTTGGCTATTTAATATAACTTGTTTTATGAAAAATAATAGCTTTCATAACTCGTTTGCAAAATAGAATTACAGTTCCTTCTGCTATTCTAAAATTAGAACAAATTGAAAATATATCATTTCTTGACCCTAATCTTCTTATAAATACTGCAAATTGAAGTTCTACAAATAATTGTTGTTTTGAATTATTACTTTGAAAAACTGAATGGTTTTTAATTAAATTAACCAATAATTTAAAATTTTCTGGAAGTATTCTTAAAATTTTTTTAAACCTAATATTATCATAAGCTGGTAAAATATCATTATACCAATGTTTTGATTTAACTATACTATTATACGTATGAGTTTCCAAGTAACATTCTTCATTTAAAGCTAATAAGCCAAAAATAAAAAGTTCATTATTGTCTTTTTCATCTTCAGAATCTGTAACTTCAATTAGTTTTAACGTTTTTTTAATTAATTGACTTTCTATTATTTGTTGTAATTCTTTTTTACCAAACATATAAAAATGTTTTTTAACAAATAACGTATGTTCAAATTAAAAACCAACTTAAATCTGTTCAATTTGGATTGAATTTTTATTGGTAAAATTTAGGTAATACAAATATGACATCAAACTTAACTGACCAGATATGAACAAGCCTAGTAAAGGGCTAATTTTCTATGGTATTTATAAGTAAGCGGGATTCTATATAATATATAATATTTAATAAGAATAATTTTTTTAGCCAATCAGATTTCAATCAGATAAGATAGGGGTTAAGAGGACCCTGCTTACTTATAATAAAGGTCACTGTAGAAAATTGGCCCTTTACTAATAGTTTTTACCTTACTTTTTTCTTAAATTCTATTGGTTAATTAGCTAAAAAGGAAAAAAATCATAATAATGTAACATAAAATTTCCTTTTATAGTAGGATCTGCAAAGAATTTTATATATGATTTTTACTTTAGGACTGGGGGTGACCTATCTTATAAGTAAGCAGGGTCCTAGGTTAAGGTTATTAATTAAGAGAAATTAACTGATTTCTAGTATACTTCTAATTGCTATGATTTATGTCTAATTTCTTTTTTATATTTTTTGTATAAATTAGAATGAATCTTATCTGTCAAAATACTTGGTAAACCAGTTAGTTTGGTATACCAATTCAGATATTTAGGAGTTAATATTTTATCAATCTTAGTTATATTATCTATATTATCTTTTTCTAAAATTGCAAATCCAGTTTTCTTTTTAAATTCTAAGAATCTGATTTTTTTATTAAAGTTTATTACATAATCATTGATTGGTGTTTAGTATTTTTAGAAATTTCTAAATCCACCAGATTATTCTTTTATTTAGCTGACTTACTATTGGCTGTTTCTTTTAATATTAACTGTACAGTTTATTCAGTAAAAAAAATGGAGTAAAAGTATGGAAAATATATAATAATTAAATAAACTACAAATTGTTTTCAATATCAAAGTTCTCAAGGTTGTTCTTATTGATTTTTCAAATAACAAATAGCTTTTTATATTTAGTTAAAGACATATATATTTGTAAGGCTTAAAATATTTCCATTTTGCTAATATACTCTAAACTTTTTACTGCTATTTCTATATATTATACAAGGATCTTTTCTATATTCACATTTTTATAGAGAACATAAAAAGATATATCTTTACTGTTAAATATCAGTTTATAATAAAATTATTTTATAAATATAATGATTATTAAAACTTTTATATATTAATAAAAAACTACTAACAATATTATGATTAATACAAAAATCCAGAAAATCTAATTGGTTTTTGCAGTTCAAATGCAGATCAACTTGCCATTTTGCTATTGGATAATAGAGATCATAAAGAAATAATATAACTTTTTACATTAATATCTTTTTGTATTTTCTAATATTATAATGATAATATGGGTTATACTGAAGGATTTTTTTGTAATTTGTCAAAGCATTAACTATGAGACTTTGATAGTACATTGATAGGTTAAAATGGGTTACTTCAAGCAAACTATCTATATACTCATACCTATATAGCTTTATGTAATCAATAGTTATATATATATAGAATACTTATACATGGATTGTTTAAGATGATGAGTAGTTTATTGGCTTTTTAAATAGTTTAGTTTAGGATTATTATTTGTCTTTATTTTTGTACATTTGTAACTTATATTACTTTTGCTTTAATAAATACACAATGTATTTTTTTTTTTTTTAAAAAAAATAATGTATTAAGTAAAAAAAATTTTTTATTTTTAACAATATATATCATAAAATTGGCAATAAAACATTACAAATTGGACAAGTATAATTAAAAATAGGCATTGATCAATTTTTTATTTATAAAAGAAACAAAAGAACTTTTAAAAAATTATTTGATGTTTTCTTTAATTTGTATAGTAAAATTTGATTATTTAATTTTTATATGATTTTTTTTTGATATTTATTTATTTAGTTATAAAAAAAAAACTTGTATAATTAATTTTTAATGTTCACAGTTCATTATTGTAGTAAAATATTTTAAACTTACTTTAAATTATTAGAATACTGTATTTTCATTATTAGAATAATTTAAGAAAGGAACCGTATTATCTGTTATAGTATAATTTAAAAACAATTAAAAAAATAAGATATATTCTTTATATTTCCTTTTTTTTTATCTTTAAAAAGGTAAGTAAAATATTATAACAATTACCTTATAAATTTAATAAAATTACTTATTAGTGAATTTAAATACAATCAAAAAAAAATGATATATTCTTTATATTTTCCTTTTCTTTAATCTTTAAAAAGCAAGTAAAATATTGTAACATTTACTCAAAATTATTTATTAGCGAAAAGGAAATTTGAATTTGTATAAATTACTAAATATATTTTCTAAGGTGTAACAAACGGGAATAAGGGAAATCTAATTTTAGGAAAAAAAAAATAACCAGTATACTAAAATCCGGATCTTTTTAAAGAATTTTAAACCAAACTAACTCATTAACAGTTAAGCTAATGATAAAAATATAATATTAGAAACACAAAAAATGCCACCAACTTTAACGCGTTTCACGGTTATTCCATAATAATTTTATTAATCAATTTAGGAAAAGAGGAAAATTTCATGAAAAAAAAAAGGTTTACAAATAGAAAACCAGATATGATGATTTGGGTATACAAAATGTAGGATTGTAAAATGGAGATGATCATTTATTTTAATTTACCAACTATAGAAAAATCATACGTATATTTGAATTAGGAAAAAATAGTATGGTCTGGGGAAATCCATTTTCATTGTACCATTTAAAAAATGCAAAATTAAATCTTTACTGCATAATTTTGAACATGATTAAATAATAATTTTTTTTTAAAAAAAAAAAAAAAAATGAGAAAATAAACGCGTAATACTTGAAAAAATGTTGAATTACCGTAACTCGAATATGAAAAGCGTAATTATTTAATAAAAAAAAAAACGAGAAATTCCTGACAGAACAGAAAGAATAATAAAGAGAATAAAGAGCTGTCTCTTATACACATCTAGATGTGTATAAGAGACAGGATATGAACAAGCCTAGTAAAGGGCTAATTTTCTATGGTATTTATAAGTAAGCGGGATTCTATATAATATATAATATTTAATAAGAATAATTTTTTTAGCCAATCAGATTTCAATCAGATAAGATAGGGGTTAAGAGGACCNCAAAATTAAATCTTTACTGCATAATTTTGAACATGTTTTTTTTTTTTTTTTTTTTGAAGAGAAAAATATAAACACACAAATAAATATAAAATATTTTAAACTATGTAAAATTAATGTAATGTAACATTTAGGAGTTTACACGCTTTTAAACAAACATGACAATAAAGGGAAAAAGAATTCGCCAAGAAAATTCAAAGTATAAAGAAAGGTATTTTTTTCTTAAAGTTGTGTAACTACATGTATGATTAAAAGGATTAAATTGGTTGTGAAATCCTTAAAAGGTAATAAAAAAAAATTCCATTTATGTTATTTACGTTGCAAACGTAGGTTGCAAACAAATAATATTTAATTGGCATTGGAATTGAATTGACTAAATTTTAAAAAAAAAAAATTTCAAGTTGAAAAAGTTTCGGATAACTATTTGTCAATGAGAAAGGGGCTGATGTTTTGAAAAAAAGATATTAAATTGGAAATCAGGTAATGAATTATTTCGAATTGGAATTAATTTGATCTTTTTCTTTTACATTTCAAGTTTTCACAACTTTTTGGGATCAGGACTCACAACATAATGCATCTAACCAATCCTCTTATGTTGTCCAAATTATCAATGAATATAAATTAAATTCCTTTTGTTATGTAAAGTAAATCAAAAATAGTAAACATTAAATTTATTAAATTTTGAACTAAAGTAATCTTAGTTTAAATAAATAAATGAATAATTGACCACAAAGTGAAAATCATAGGATGGCTTGGGTTTAAATTTTGTGTAATGTTTAAGGAGTAAGTTTGAATGTAACACGTATCAGTTAATTTATATTTTTAGTTTAAAATTATTTTTTATTTTGTTTCATTGTAAATAATAATAATGAATTATATTATATTGAAAAAATTTCGTTATAAATTCTCCACTTTTTTTCCTACTTCCCATCTCAAAAATATCTCAATTCCTCTGAAATATTTTACGATATCTTTTTACAATATAATTTTTTTTTTACGAAATTTAATAATATAACACAATATGTCATCTCTTGAAGACGGAAAAATTGGTGAACAAAAATATACTCCACCAAAAATCGCCAATCCCGCTCCACTTGGTATATATATTAATTTTTTAAAAAATATTAATCCTTAATTTTTCTAATCTTAATTTCTCATTTGTTATAAATAAATAGGTTTATGTGGTTTCGCTTTGACAACATTTGTATTATCGATTCATAATGCTGGATCTCCAAATGTACAGTCTGCAGATATTGTAACAGGATTGGCCTTCTTTTATGGTGGTTTGGCACAATTATTAGCAGGAATGTGGGAATTTAAAACTGGAAATACCTTTGGTGCTACTGCCTTTTCTTCTTATGGTGCTTTTTGGCTCTCCTTTGGTGCCATTCTCACTATTAAACCCGCTGGCCCCGTTGATCCTATTGCTTCTGCTCATGCTGGTAAGTAACTTTTTTTAAGATTTCACATATGAATTTGAAAGGTTTAATATTATTATATTTTTCTAATAAAATTCGTTTACATTTTTTAAAACTAATTTTTAGTCGGAATATTTTTATTGGGATGGACAATTTGTAAGTATTTAAATATTGTTTGAAATTCAACTCATTTCATTTCTTTTTTATTAAAATTTTTCCTTCTTTTTCTTTTAGTTACTTTCATCTTATTTTTGGCAACATTCCGATCAAGTGTGGGAATTATGTCATTGTTCTTTTTCTTAACAATGACTTTCCTCTTACTTACATTAGGAAAATTCTTCCAACTTGATCAAACTCCAGTAAATGGAATAACAAAAGCTGGCGGTGTATTTGGTGTGATCACTGCTTTGATCGCTTGGTATAATGCTTTAGCCGGTTTACTTACCCCTGAAACTTCTTATTTCACTTTACCCACTATTAGTTTAAATCGTAAAAATAATTAGAATAATATGAATAATATATAAAGAAAAGAAAAAAAAAATTAATAATGTAATATTATGTAATAATAATTTTTTTTTCGTAATGATCGTAATGATGAAATGTGAATAATTTTTTCTTTTTTTTTTTTTCTTTGTGTAAGCAGTAAAATTTTTTTTAGGTTTTTTGGTACTGCTGTTGTATCTCATTGTGCTATTTTTATGGTTTTTTTTTTTTATATAATACTTTATATAATATATTATTAATGTATAACACATACGCATATAAATTTATATCTCAATCAAATAAATTAGGAAATGAGTTTTTTTTTTAATATTCGGTAAAAAAACATTTTTATTTTATTTATTTTATTTTATTTTGAAACAACAATCATACAATTATACATTTAACATTTAACAATAATCATAACAATCGATTATGCACAAATAAAATTATTGCGCACATTAAAATAAATTTTTTTTTTTTAAAAAAAAAAAAAAATTATGCAATACATTAACGAATTATTTCTTTGTATAACAAAAAAATGAAATAATAAAATAATAAAAACGTTTTTTACAAAATTTTCCCAAGGTCACGATGTACAATTCGATGTTGTTTGGTTCAAATGGTTCAAATGGTTCAAATTGTTTTTTTGAATACTAATCTTTATTCGGTTATTTCTGTTTCCCTATAAACAAAAAAAAACCACACGTAAATTTATTAACTAATAATATTTTTCACTTTTTTTTTTTTTGTCTTTTTGTCTTTTTGTCTTTATTTTTTGTCTTTTTTTGTCTTTTTTTTTGTCTTTTTATCCAAGCCGATCATCCGATCTTCAATGATCATTTTTTTAACCAACCATCTTTCAATCTTTTTATGAAATATATGATACCATACCTATTTTTGAAAGTTTAACTTATATTATACATCAATAACAAATAACAAATATTTCGTATCATGTTTTGAAAATCCATTTTTTTATTGAGGTGAAAAAGTTTAACGATGAATGTTAATGGTTCAGAATTGATTTATTGAAAATTTCTGTTTTGATTATTATGATTATCATTTTTTTTTTCTTATTATTATTATATATAATATTTTAGTATTAGAGTATTAATAAATCTCGTTTATAATAATAATAATAATAATAATCTTTTAATCAATTCAATTTTATCTATAATGAGAAATCAATATTTTAAGGAACCTAGTTTAGAAACCAATTGTTCATTTTTGGAGATCATTTTTTTTTCTTTATCGACAAAAATTAATTAAATTTATTGGTATCAATTTTTCAAGTAAAATTACTTATTAAAGTAAATTCGACTTCTATTATCAATTTTGCCATTAACAACGTCAATAGTACCAGTAATATTATATGATTAAAAATTAATTTTTTTTACTAATAAATTAATTAATTATACTACAATTATATATACGTATAATAAATATTTCTTGATGTAAGATGTCAATATATTATAATATTAAAAGTTTTGAATTATTATATTTCGTAAAACATGCAAGTATTTATCATTATTTGCAAAAGAAAAAAAAAAAAAAAAAAAAAAATAACTAGAAAAAGAAAGTAAATTCTCACTAAATTCAATCATCTATAAATATCTTAGATCTTTTTAGTAATAACTTTTATAATACATCAAATTTTTTAAATGATATATAATAATGAATTTAATGAATTAAAAAATAATGATGCAAAAAAAATAAAATAAAATAAAATAAAATAAAATAAATAAATAACAATTTAAAAATACAAAAAAATTATGTTACACGAAAAACATGATTAGAAGGAAATATACGTGCTGAAGTATATGATGTTGGATAAACTTTTATAGGAACAGAGCAGTCAAATGTTTCAACATTTATATTATCAATGGCTTGATAATATTGATGCCGTTCATCTGCATTAAGTGGCATTAAGGGTGATTGACCTTTGGGTCCAGTGATGAATTCTAATCTTAAACACCACTGAAGTTTTACTAAAAAAAAATAATCATTATGAATTAATATAAATTATAAAATATTAATTGACAATAAAACTGATAAATTAATTAGTTTTAGTTACCGCCGGTCGTTTGAAAGTCCGGTGTACCACTTGTAGGTATTGATATTGCAAAACCAATACGTCCTGCATTAAGACAAAATTCATGATGCTCTCCATGAATTTTCCGTGTCACTCGAGCAATTTGTTGTTGTGGACGATTCGCGATAGATGGTTCAACAATTTCACTACTTTCTAACGTTATTGATACCTACCAAAAGATCCTGCTTATTAAATACAAATAATTAAAGAAAAAAAAAAAACTTATTATTTGATAATTAATACCTGATAACTGGGTATAACGGCATCATTAAAATTTATAGTTCCTGTAACGATATCTCCAAGTCGATAAGAAGTTTTTAAAAGACATAATTGCGCCACACGTTGATTATTTTTACAAATATCAAAATTCGCAAAAAAAAAAAAAAAAAAATTAAATTCAATAAATTATATATTTTTAATTCAATGGAATTAAGAACAGCAATATAATTACTATTCGAATATCAATAATTATATGATAAAACAGTACCACGGGCACATTAAATTTTTTTAAAAAAAAAAATTGATAAAAATTTAAAAATTTTTTTTTTTATTGTACCTTTACGCATATTTTTTGATAAAATTGTTGCCGTATTTGCTACAGAATTTTCTTCTTTTTCTACGAAAACATATGTATCACTATCTTTTCCATCATCATTTTCATCAGTAATTGATGATATCTCATATTCAGAGCTTTGAACCAATTTTTCCAAGTAATCCAAAAATTCTTCCTTCTTATTATCTATACATTTATTAATAAAAAATAAAAATACAAATTAATACAGAAATTTTAAATTAGAACAAAAATATTACAAAATTATAAAAACCTCTTTTCTTTGTCGGTTTCGGCTTTGGAGCTTCTTCTTTACATGTTATGATGGCTTCATCTTTATAAATTACTACAGGATTCATCAAGTCATATATAGGTCGTGAACCATCATCTAAATGTAAAATTTTATATAATTAATAAAAATACTCATATACTCGTGTTTTTATTTAAGGGCATATATATATATATAATACCTGAAACGTAGTTAAATACGCGAAAAGGCATCTGTACTACATTTGATTGATGATTCATCCCTCCTCGATGAGTTCCAATTATTAAGTAATATAAAAATCGAATAGCTTTACCCCTATGTGATGGTGGTAAATCATTGGGTAATCTAGTCTCATATGTATCTAATAATAAATTGATAATATCATATTAACCTCTAACATTATTAAATTGCAATAATAAGAAAGAGTTATTTACATGTTCGTAATTCACCAGGTGCCAAATGTAAATCACAAAATAAAATTGAAGGAGGAGTCGAAAATACCGGTATCGATTTACTATCTAAATAAATAAATAAAATGAATAAAATAAAAAACAAATAATACAATATATATATATATTTTTATTTAATTTACCTGCACGTTCTTGTAGGTCAGCTAAACTTGAATGACTTAAAGTACTAGTGGAAAAAATTCCCAAAGTTCCACCACCAACAGCACCTCCAGCTCCAGTCCCACTGGCTGGTCGATACATTGTTTTTGTTTTCAATGGCTCAAATTCGATAGATTTTACTAACGAATTATCTATTATAAAATGTCCTACTATTTGAACAAAACCCCATAACAATGTTTCATATTTTTGACTGAGAGAAGGTGAAGAACTGCATCGTGTTGCTGAGGAAGATCTTCTACTAGAACTATGTTTTTTATAATCAGTTAACGGTTCACTCCAAGTATTACTTCCTCTTTCGGAATGTCCAATACCATAAAAATCTACCGAACTTCTTGGAGTTGTTGATTCAGATGTATCTAAATCACTAATAGAAATATTATCGATAACACCTGCTTGTTGTAAATCAATCAATCCACCATCATCATCCGTTTCCTCATCCGTAATATGTACAGGTTCAGAGGTTAAAGTAGACTTGTCTTAAAAATATATGATTGCGTAAATTACAAAATTTATATAAATAAAAAGTAATCAAAAATATAACATAAAATACCATCGATTTTCTCTACATGTTCTAAATCGTGTTCCTCCGTATGTCCTGGATGTGATTGTGATGACGAATTTTGAACGGTCGATTGGGGAATTGAGGAAGGCTGAGAATCACCACTACTTCCAGCTAGCAGTGAAAAAGTCGAAGAAGCAATAGAAGTCAACGATGCCGACCTCTTTACAAGATTACGAAATCCAAACATTCCAGAATCACCTAAATCTCCTGCAAGACTATTATGAATGGACGGATTTTCGACAATAGCAGACAAAGGATTTCCATTTGGTATATGTTTTATCGAAGGTTTTTTTCCGTGTGACTTTGATTCACTTACAGTTCTTACATGGTTCAAATATCCGTTTTTGGTTGAAGTGACTTGCGATTTATCTTCTGAGGAAAGATTATCTACATTAGAAGGCTGACAACTAAAAGTAATCTCACAACGAAATTTCTCTCCAGCAAAGAATACTGCGTTCTGAGGTATTTTTGCGGTTACGATTACAGCTGACATTTCTTTTCGCGATCTATGATATATTCTACCTAATTAATTTTTGTAAAATAATTTATGCTTTTGTATTTTTCGTTTTGTATCATTTAAAACCTCCATCAGTTTTTTTGAATTAGTTCTTCATTAGTTGATAATATTATGCTCGAGGGGGTTAAAAGTTTTTTTTGAATTGTGTCTCAAGCCACCAGATGATTTTTAATGATCTACGATGGAAAATTCCTTTTTTCCTATAGCATATGTATCGAATAATTTGGTAATACATTTTTAAAATTTTTAATTTTCCTTTTGTAAATGTATTTTACAATTTTTTTTTTTTTTTTACATTCTTTTTTTTCTCTTTCAATTGTTCATTTTTTGATAATTAATTAATTATATATTGAGATTTAATTAATCAAAAAAAGCAAATAATATAATTCTAATAATTAATATAAAAAAAAAATTGATAACTAAAAAAGAAAAAAAAATGCCTTATCCATTGGGTACTCATGTTACGCATATACTGTTGGCAGAATTCGATATTGATAGAGGGTCTTCGTTAGCACATCAATATCCTGAAGCTACCGGTACAGATGAAGGGTAAATAATTGGTTAAAATTCTTTCTTAAATTTAATGATTTATAATTTTTAATATAATCAATTTTGATAAATATGTTATAGTTTATTAGCAGAGTTAATGTTACCGGATGGTGCACATTTACGTACTGAAGATTGGACGATATTCTTTTTAAATCAAAAGATTCCTGATCCTGATAAAATATCAACGGATAATAATGATAATGAAACACCTTTATTGTATGCGTTAAATTTAGTTAGAACTAAACATGATAAAGGAGCCAGAAGGTGAATTATTTTTTTTATTTTATTTTAAAAATTTTTAAATTTTATTTTAAATTAAAAAAAGTATTAATTTATTAGAGGTGCTATTGTAAAAGCTATGGCTATTTGTACAAGACATCAATATTTGCATATTTATAAGGTAAATTAATATTTTGAATTCTTCTTTAAAAAATTTTATTTATTTATTTATTTATTTAATTATCTTCTCATAAATTGTCTTTCTAAAAATTGTTCCCTCTAAAAATATTTAGCCAGTTTTATTATTAGCATTGGATAAATATTTTCAAGATCCATCAGTAAAATGTTTAGCATCGTTATATGAAGCAGTAAATTCTATGGATGTAACATATATGCCTAAATTCTCAGCACATGAAAAAGCTATACTGCGTGCTTCAGAGAATAAAGATATGTTTGAAGAAAAGTTTACCGCTTATGAAAATAGTAAGAAACAACAAGAGATGTCAGCTCAATTATTAAAAGATGATAGTTCAGGAAAAGGATTAGGAATAAATAATAATAGTGATGGTGGTGATGGTGGAACGGATAATTCTAGTGAAGAAGTAAATTTTAAAAAGGCATCTTACCAAGATTTAATGCCAAATTTGAGTAAAAATAAGGATAGACATTTTTATGAAACTAAAGTTGTATATAGTGGAATAAAATTGCCAATCCGTGTGCCATTAACTGTTAATCCAGAAGAAGTTGGTGACGTAAGTATTTTTTTTTTTTTCTTTTTAATTGAGGAAGAAAAAGAATTTGAAAAGAAAAAATTCAAAAAAGAAAGAAATAATTTTCTTTTTTTCTTTTTATTATAGTTTTCTTTAATTAAGTTGATTACAACGTTCTCACCATCATCACCACATCCATTCAATCATGCATTTCATCCACATTTGGATTCAAGTGGTAATCAAACGCAACCAATAATTTTATTATTGAATGCGTTATTAACTCAAAAACGTATAATATTTTTGGGTCATGGACATCCTTCAGGAGATGTAGCGAATTATGTATTATCAGCTTGTGCTATGGGAAGTGGTAGTGGTGGTGTATTAAGAGGATTTTCGGAACGTGCATTTCCATATACTAACTTGACAAATGTTGAAGATTTATTAAAAGTGTAAGTTGAGGAGTGCTATTTATATTATCGGAAATTTTTTTTTTAAAAAAAAGTTCTTAACCATAATTAACTCAAATTTCCTTTTATCATTTTAATTAGTCCCGGATTTATTGCAGGAGTAACAAATAGAATTTTTGAGGATCATAGTTCATGGTGGGATGTGTTGTGTAACATTGATACAGGAAAGATTACAGTTAGCAAAGATATTGCAACACCTTCATATGGTACAAAACCTGATGAAAGACCAGAAGAAGGTACAAGATCTCCATCTGCAACTAAAACAGAATCATGGGGAAGAGAAAAATGGGATACAACTGATAATGAATTTATGGCTGAGGTTAGTAATTATGAAGGTTATTAATACAATTTTTTAAATTGGGAAATATGCTAAATTGATTTTTATTAATTGAGTAGGTGATGCATGCAATTCAACATCATTATGGGGAAACTACCATAAGAGGAAAATTTCAAGACTATGTACAGAGATTTGTTAGATTAACAGCTTTGTATGAAATCGAAACTTTTGGATCAACAAAAATTGGAATGATGCCAGAAAACACAGATCATGGGAATATATTAGGCACTGGATTAGCATTTCAAGATGAAAATTTAAAATTACGTGAAGTAGCTGCTAATGTGAATAGAATTGAAGGTTGGAGACAAACTATTTCATATAAATATTATCAGTTGGTAAGTGAAATTACCTTTTAAAATTTTTTTATTAAAGAAATTAAATTTTTAATATTTTTTTCTCTTGTAATTTTATTTTATAGGACTTTCAAAATTATTTAAAATATAGAAGTATCAAAGCTATAGATGTTTATCATCAGGTAGCTAAATTAAAAAATCTTAGAAATATGCCAGAAGAGGAAGTTGAATGTTTATATAAAGCTTTGGTTGATAATGTTGTGACTGACGAACAAATAATTGAGGTATTTAAATGTTTTTTTATATTAAAATTATTATAAGTTAATATATGTAATATTAATATTTCTTAATTTTAATAGTTTTTGTCATATTTACCACAAAACCAAGGAGGTTTATTTCCAATTGGGTTAGGATTATTTTATCCACTTAAAACTGTTAGAAATTATACAATAGAATTGTTTAATAGAATCAATGATCATACAGTAAGTATAATATTTTATTATGTTTTCAATTATATCAAAAATTTTAATTATTTATTTTTATAATTTATTTTAGACTGGAAGTAAATTTATACAGAGTTTAAATTTATTCCAAAAACATGCTTATGAAAGGCAATTATCTGATCAAAGAGAAAAAGAACAAAAACATAAGTTAGTGTTACAAGATCATGAACAATTACAAGATGAAAATAATGAAAATAATAGTAATAATAGTGATAATTATAATGATGATTCTAATGAAAGTGATATTGGTGTAGCTATTACTACTAATTAATTAATTAATTAATTAATTGTTATTTTGAATGTAAATATATTTAATTTTAATTAAGTGAATCAATTTTTTTTTTTTTTATTATTTTTAATATGGTAAGTAAGAATAATTTGATGCGTATTAAAGATCCTTTAAATTTGAATCAACTAATTGTATTATAGAGAATTTAATTTTTGTTTAGTTTTTCTTATAGATTATTGTTATATTTTTATCATTTATTTTATTTGTATATTTTATATTTTTTATTAACATATATGTTTTTAGTTATTTAGAAAAAAAAAATTAATTAATATCCATAATATTATATTACATTAATAAGGAATAAACAAATATTTGTTTAAAATGTGATACTTACATATTTGAATTTTGATAATATGTATTTATAAATAGTGATTAATAAGATTTAAAAATGCGCAAATATAGCAAATATATAAAATATGTGAATTTACAATCCATTAATACTATAATGTAAAATTACTAGGTTTACAATCTATACAGAAATTATTAATCAAGCTGGTTTGAACATTTTATTTGTAAATTGTAATATAATCCATCCATATTTTATAAACTTCAATATCTTTAGACTTTAATTCTAATTTTCATAATTATAATGAAATTCTTCTATACCAAAATTTCAATATTTAATTCCAATATAGAAGTTGGTATTACTTCATTTCTTACATCAAATATTTTATTCATTTATTAAAAAAAAAATAGTCTTCAAAAAATGAATAAATGGAGTAATTTAAATGCATTTATATGCAAAGTTTTGCATTACTATTATCCATTTGTTTGGAACAATCCAACATGGAATTCAAGTATTGCTATCATCTATTATTTTACATCTATTTTATTATTTTGATATCAAATATCTGGTGATTTATAGTAATTTTATATAATTAATATTAAAATTAGTACTTTGTTTTTTATAGTATTAAAAATAGAGTGAATTTATTTCTAATCTAAAGTAAAATCTAATAGACTAATACATACCTTTACAATAATTTATTAGTAAAATATGGTAAAATTATTGATTTTTGAACTATAACAAAAGTTTATAAATTTTCAATGAAATTTTGCTATTTTTTAATTCTTATTTATTTATTACTAATTATAAGTAATAAATTCTTTATATTTTTATTTGTTTACAATAAAAAATTTTTATTTTGTAAATTTTTATTTTTTTTATCTATAAATATAATAAATATAAATGGTTTTGAAAACTTTTTTTCTTTTTTTTTGTTAAATCACGTGACATATTAATTCCGGCCAGAATTAAATGATCGGCATAAAATTGCCTTTTTGGATAAATGTATATAGATAAAAAATTGGGAGCATATTATAGTGATCGTCACCTTACCAGAATTAGGGTAGAATTTTAGGCAGAATTAGAAATGTCATGAACTTCGCCCATTAATGCTAGTGCACCTGCGGTGAGATGCTCAAAAAACTGGTGCTACAGTAGTTGAATATCAGATTTTTATTGTGGCTCCCAGCCAGTCATATTTAATTTCAATTTTTTTTTTTGATTATCAAAAAAATTTTTTTCTCCTAAACTCTATAATGAACTTTTCAATAATATGTCGAACAAAGCAAAGTGTTAACTTTTTTCAAACGTATGTTTATTTGTTTCTTTTAGTTAAAGTTTAATAAAAAGAAACTTTCTTTTATTTATTTTTTTTTTTTTTTCAAATAGCGCAAGATTACAATATTCAAACATATTAACTAAAAAGGTGGATATCATATATGTAATTCAAAATCAAATTTAAAATTATTATTCCTTACCTTTTTTTTTAATAATGTAACTTTTTTTTTATTAAAGTTTTCATCAAAAGTTAATAATGTCAGGTTATATAGAAGCCATGGTTTATTTACACAAAAAAAAACCTCTTCATATAGTGGAACATCAAATTTTAATAAAATAAATTTATATCAGTCGTTTACGATAAATAAATTGTGTCGAAGTATAACGACACAATATGATACAGATGAAGTAGAAGTATTATCACCAACTTTACCACAAGAAGTTATTACTGAAGATACCGATTCAGCAGCCAACTTCACGAATATAGTGCAGCCAGCAACATCGGATGGTATAATGGAAACAGCATTAAAAATTGGGGACTTTAAAGCAATGGGACTTGTTAACTTTACACCAGTCGGACTTGTTGAGGAATTTTTTGAAATTTTACATATTACAACAGGATTACCTTGGTGGGGTACAATTACATTGGCAACAATAATTTTACGTTTAGCACTTTTTCCATTAATAATAAAAAGTCAATTAAATATTGCTAAATTAACAAAAATTCAACCAAAATCTCAAAAAATAATGGACCAAATTACAAAAGCGAGGGAAGAAGGGGATCAACAAACGCTTATGATTAAATCTGTAGAATTAAAACAATTATTTTTGGATAATGATTTAAATATGTTTTCATCTTCTTTACTTCCATTAGTTCAAATGCCTATTTTTATAAGTTTTTTTATTGCTTTAAGGAAAATGGCTGAATTACCTGTGCCTGGTTTGGAACATGGTGGCATTTTATGGTTTAAAGATTTATCTGTTCCCGATCCACAAATAATTTTACCTTTTCTTGTTAGTGGCGGTTTCATCGCAATGTTGGAGGTAAAAATATTTAATTAAAATTCAAATTTTTTTTTTTTATTTGGTTATTATTTTTATCCTAATTTAAAATTATTTTTAGTTTGGTGTAGATACAAACTTAAAGAATACTCAGGCAGTGGGCTTAAAATGGTTTTTTCGTATTATCAGCGTAACTTCAATTTTTTTCACCATGCAATTACCTTCAGTATGTATCCGAGTATTTTATATTTTTCTGTGAGAAATTTAATAATAATTTATTAAATTTATTTTTTTTATTATGTTAAATTACAGGCAATACTTTATCACTTTTTTTGCACAAATTTAATTTCTTTTACACAATCTCTACTTCTAAAAAATAATAAAGTCCGAAGTTGTTTTGGATTACCAGCTATTGTAAGGCCAACTATTGTAAGTCCTAATATAAACGAATCAGTGAAAAAGAAATCATTAATGAAACAATGGAAAGAATGGAATACGGCAGCCTCGGCTGATAATAACAAACACAAAAATAAAAAACGTAAATGATTGCTATGAATTGATTTTGGAAAATACTTAATCTAAGGTGAATATTAAAAATTTTTTTTTTTTCCCTTAAATAAGATTATTTTAAGTGAATGTAGTTGAAAATATTTATTATCGCTCTAGTGTTGCCCTATATCATAATTTCAATTGATAATAGAGTGTCAAAATTGAGCGTATACCAAAAATTTATGAGCAGAGATTTATTGATAATTTTTAGATATATAATAAGTTATCTGATATTGATTGGTCATTACATTATTAATATTTTATTAAAAATATTTTACGTTTATTATTAGGAAATTAAATAATTCATACCGAGAAAAACGCTGATTGATATTTAAGACCAATAAAAAAAGATTATAATCTAGATTAAATTATATTAAGCTTTTTTAACGATACTTCAAAAGAAATCATACAAAGTAAACCAATATAAATTAACATGAAATAAAACCAAATAGTGAAGGATTCAAGCCCATATTCCATCCTCCAGAATAAATCAGCATGTTTATTCTGAATTAACAACATAATAATCAGAATAATATAAAATGTATGTAGGACAGGTTTAGGAAAATCACATAATTCTAAAAGGAATAAGTGTACAATAGAAGTATGTGTTGGAGAGAAATATAGAAACAAATCTATTTTAATATTAATTCGCGTATCAGTTATGAAAAGAATGTTAGATTAACTGTTATATCGATATAACTTTAAAAAAAAAGACATACAATACATGGAGTAATTTACCGTATGTCCAATCCTCGCAGCGATTCCAATAATACGAAGCCAAATAAAAGATCCAAATAATAACAAATATTGGTGCATAAAATAGAAAAATCAAGGAGTCAAATGGCACTTCCATAATAGATTTCTATATGATAAAAAAACGAATTAAAAATAATTAGATAGTTAGATTAAAAAAAGAAAGAAAATCTTAGTTTCTCATATTTACAAATTCATTTAATAAATTCATTACGATAATTTTAAAAGTTCATTTTTAAGATAAAAATAATCATCATGACTTAAATGTTTTCCTTATTATAATTTTTTTTTTTTTTTGATTATCATTTATCAGCAAAATAAAATTTAGTCACGTGAATTGCATCGCTCATTATTCGGAACTATAATTCACAACTTGTCAATTGTCATATCATATATATACACATATATATATATCCATAATTTGTATAATTTGTGTAAATTTTACTTAAATTGATAAAGATTTAATTTAAATTTGGATAAAAAATGTTGATATATGATATATTCTGATCTAACAAAATTCCATGGAATTTTGTTTAATAAATTCAGTTGAACCATGATTACTTTCTAAATATTCGTTCTAAGAATAAATCTAAGAAATAACATAAAACTACTGTACAAAGCATACAATTTAACTACATAGTGAACATACTTATTAATTACGATAAGGTCTACAATCAAACTTTACTACAACTTGTGACCAATTCTCGGAAGAAGAATTATTCATTTTCCATTTAAGAGAATTTAAATTAGAACTTCTCTCTACAGTCACAGTTCTGAAGGTGCTTCCACGGTTAATTGCTTCTTTAAACGCATAAAGCCGTCGATTGTCTAATGAGTGCATCGTGCCGTCTGGTAAAATACAAACTCTCATAATTGGAATATTTTCCGGTGATAATGTTCCGTTCACAAGTCCAGTGATAGTGTTCTCAACAGTTTTGCCATCTTTAAAGAAAGGCTTGACACAGCATTGAGAATAGAGAAGCTGTCGTGGGTCTACTTGTAATAACTTAATTATAAAGTATTTAAGAATTTAAGAATATCACTATTAAACTTTTTTCTTTTTTACACGTTAAGTTAATGACAAAAAAAAAAAATAATCATAAACTAAGAGGCTCACCGCCATAGAGAAATATGATGCTTAAAATTTATTAACCGGAAGCATATTCTTTAAATATGATTAAGAATTTATTATTTGTCGTACCCAATGCATAAATTTGCAAAACAAAAAATTATAACATGGGATAATACGCGGATGATCATATGGCAAATTTGTAATCATCCTCTTCGTTCAAGTTGCTTCATTTAAAGGAACAATATCACCTTATTAATGTAAGTCAATTTATTTAAGGTTAGGGGAGTGTTATCTTAACTCCGAAAAAGATTCTTTCTGAGAAAATTTTATATTGTTTACACTTAATATTATTTACAAATCTTTCTAAAAGAACCATTAGTTATCAGGTATCACCAAATTGTTTACATATTTGGAAACTATTAATTTCCTATATCAGCATAATTATCTTATTAGGCTTATATTTTTGATCCTTCCTCAATGAACGGATTTGTTCGGATAAGAGGTTCTTTATAAATTATGTGATCATGTGGCACAATTTGCTAAGTTTTATGTTAGCTAAGTTTTATGGCCCATTCTTGAAATCGTCATATACATATTTCTATATTTGATAAATAAGTAAATTTAAAATAAATTTTTTGTATAATATTTGTTATGTTATTAATATCTTAATCAATCAGAACACTCATCGGGCGCCCGGGCCAAGGAGGGACCGACTGTAATTATATTATTAAAAAAAAACATAATAATCAGTATTTGATATAATTGATAACCGAGTTTTTTTTATAATTCGGTTTATCAAAATTTTTTTCTCTTTATATTTCTTATGTTTTTATTCTGTTATAAAATTATTGAATAAAAACGTACATATAATTTTAATACCATGATTTTTAATCATTTCGATCCAATATTAAGTTAATGATCTTATTGCGAATAACTTGTACGGATGTTTACTGTTCCTTTTTCAATGACGTAATCAATTAATATATAATAATCATTCAACAAACTGTTTTATCAAAACGAACAAAATGTCTGATAAAGAAGAACAAGGAAGTGCTAAAAAAGTTGAAAAAAGAAATTAATAAAAAAGAAGATGGTAGCGAAGGCATTGGTGATAAGAAAAGGGTATATTTTTATGCTGTAAATAACATGACGATTTCCGTATCATAGTAAACATATTAAACAAAATTGTATCTTAGATACAGTGGGACTAATGGACTATTGGACTATTGGACTTTGTTCATTCCAGATCCAAATTTTTATTGGACTATTGGACCTATGATTAATTCCTGTTGTCACTTTATACTATTGTTAATTATTTGAAATAATGAGATATAATGATTTAATTTTGAAGATTAGAAGAATCAAAATGAAAAAAAACATACAACTAATTATTTAAATTATTAAGCATGAAATAAAATTGTTGGATTATTAAGAGCTATAAGAACTCAATTGGACTTGGAGTGGACTATCTCCAATTAGTCCATGTCCAATAGTCCAAATTTTTTAATTGGACCTTGTCCAATTCCATCATTGCTTAGATATAATTAGGAAGAATGCTATGAAGTATTATGGTTACCTAGAAGCTTTCATCGCGTTATTTGGAATTTTGTCCATGTTATATTATACAGTTACTGTAAAAAGCGTATGTATAGTACAGTAAATATGTAAATGGTTGTCATCTCACTCACATAAGATGAGAACAACATCCTTGTTTTTTAGGATATCGAAATGATGAACGGTGAACTCAAAGACAGAATCGATACTGTAAAAGGAATGGTTAACTTAGTTGACAGCAAAATTGGTCTTCTCGACAACAAAATCGAATTACTCGGATTTAAGTTTGATGTTATCTATACTCGAAAAGAAAATTGAAGTTCTTATAGTATGTACATTGGTTTTCTTTATCCCTATAATTGCTTTCTTTTTTAACTTAGCAGACTCATATTTTAATTACAATTGATATTATAATGAAATTTAACTAATTTGTTTATCTTTTGAATGATTAAAAAAACTTTATAATGAGTATAATAATATAATAAAATGCTCAGAAGATAGCTGATGTTTTTTACACCCTATCCTTTGCAATAATCAGGCGTGATGTTTCTACGTTAATATATATGAATTTTTTTTGATTTTTTTTGAACGATGATCCTTTATTCCCTTCTTCCTTTCAGACTCTTCATCCGAGCATGCTACTTGCTACCCTATCTTTCAGCAAACTATAACCTAAAATCTTTGGCATTAATATCCAAGACCTTCTTAGTAAACTCGATAGAATAGGTAGCATCACTGCTTTAGAAATTTCTCCGAGACTAAATAGAAGAAAGTACCAGTCATGCCCTGTCGTGACAATTTCAGAGATAATTGAAATGATCTTGTTTTCACTTCCTCGTGTAATGTATAAAACTTATATAATAATCGAGTATTGTGCGTAATACCTAATTATTTTAATAAAATCGGTAGAAAATGGGAGTTCTTTTTTGTAGAGTAATGTGCATGGCCGGTATTTAATAACTGCGGATCATACACGAGTAAATGAATTAGTTATTATTCGCTTTGCTAAAATCCTGACAAGCGGTGCTATTAAATCTTGGAAAACAAAAATTTGTTGTTCGCTTAGAAGTTGTTAACTTAAAGTTTATTGATGTATAATCTATAACTATGAAAATTGTTTCTTCAAGTGATCTATAGATTATTTTTTTTGTTATTCCAACTACAAATTATTCATATGCATCGTATAGCGATAGTTTTTGGCGAATGGGTCATCGAAAATTTATTAATCGTTGTAATATTAACTATCGTGACATCTTAAAACTTTATTGCGTCTTACGTGATTAGGTCCAAATTAAATCTTAGTTTTAATACATTTAATGAGTTTATATTAAATATTAAGAACAAAGAAAGATTCAAATAGAAGAGTAATACTGCTATTTTAATGTTACATATATTAATAAAATAGTGATCTCGAAATGATATAACCATTTAACTTTACATATTGTATAATTAACTAACAAGTAACAACAATACAAATTTTTGAAAAAAAAAACTCCCACTTGGTGGAAAAAAAAGATAAAACAACAAATTATATTATTGTTCATCTGTCATCTGTCCATGAAGTATACTTGTTAAGCAATTTTGCGGCTTTACTAGTTGTTGGAAGATCCGTCGGGGAGTCTATGGCTCTTTCGAAGGTATCCTTTCTTCGATTCATGACCCTTTCCACGGCCACTTTCGCAGCAGAGTTCGGTTTAGAGGCATTATCAACTCAAGATACGGTATTTATAAGCCGGCGGTCATTTTCAGTTAAGCGATTATTGTTATTATTGTTATTATTGTTTATATTTGTAGACATAATGAATTAATTGATTTACGTTAAGAGTGAATTGAGAGAAAGTTATTTTATCAATAATTATATTTAAATAAAATTCAAAGTTTTTATTTCAAAATGACAAAAGTCCAATTAGTTATACATTCACAAATGGCTTGCCATATTTATTTTTCACTTAGGCTTTATCAAAATGTCTTGCTATATTTAGTTTTATTGGAGAATGTTTACTTAATCTTTCTCAAATAGCCTACTATATTTAGTTTTATTAAGAGAAAAAAAATCTTGTATCCATTCGTGTATACACTAATGAGATCATTCTTAATAAGAATTGAATTATTTGAAATTGACTAATTGCTAATTTAGTGACTGTCGAGATAATCGCCTGATCAATCAAGAAACTGAAGATGTTACAAAATGGTGATTCTTTTTAAATTTTCTTTCTTTATTGTATCACACAATACAAAAACAATAAGATGTATGAAGTAAAAAAAAAATATTTGAGTACAAGATAATAAATATGTTTCAAAATTATAACAACAAAATATAAACAATGCGTGTACATCGTTTAAGCGGATAACATAGCAGCCAAAGCTACATAAACAAAGAAAAGATTTCCATAATTAGTTAAAAAAAAACAAACATTTGTATAAATAAGATGAGTAATTAATTACCAGCTCCAACACCAGAACCATCGGGTGCTAAATCAAGTTCAATTTTATCAGCATTTGGACCAAGGCATTCTTTAAGAGCTCTTTTAATACGCTCCTTAAAAGAAGGATAAAATAAAAATAAAGAGCCATCAATGCCAATATTGCAGCCAGATTCTGGTACATTGCACTGAGATATAACAGCAGATAAAGCAGCAGCAGATAATCTAGCAGCACGTAATCCGACTAATTGACAAACTCTCTTTACAATTTGACGATCTGTTAGTGTTGTGGAGGGTAAGTTTAATGATTCTTCCAAGATCCGTTTTGTTTTTTCAAGTGTATTGGTATCATCCGCTTCTATAGTTGACATATATTCTGTCTCAAAATAATATTGATTATTAAGATCTTTCGAAGAGAAACCATCAAAAAGTAATGTTCTATCAATAAGATTTAATAAAACATTTCTTGCTATCTCTCCAAGATACATTCCAGAGATAAACTTCTCCAAAGCTTGTTTCCGAGGATTATTTGATTTTCGATCAAGTTTATTATCAAACATAGTTAAAGGAAGCACTTTTCTCTATTAGAAAGAAAGTAAAAAAATTTTTTAACCGTTTATCACGTGAAAGAAATTAAAAGTAATTACGTAACATACCTCATTATCAAAAGCACCCCATTCAATGTTGATAACCATATGATCAGCATTCGAAGAAAAAGACTTCAATTTTTTTATATTTGAAATTTTCTCGAAATAAGCACCATTTGTTCCAGTTCCAAGAATAACTCCAAGAAGAGTATTAGAATGTTTATAAGCATGAGCTAAAAGAGTCCCAACAGTATCGTTAACTAAAGCAGTTACTTCGACAGGAACTACTTTACGGTTTAAAGAATCTTGTAACATAAATACGACATCTTTACCAACGGCACCGGAAGCGGTATAACCTTTTGTCCAATAGATTAAATTTCCTTTATTGATAGCAGTTTGATCGACAGGGAATGAAAATGTAAATCCCAATTTTAATTTATCTTCCGCACTACTACTAATATTAAACTCAGATAAAAATTTATCAACACAATCTGCTAAATAATCAAATAAGTGTCGTGCATCTCCATTTTTTAGCGAGTCTGATACTTTATATTTTTGTTGTCTTACAGATACTTTACCATCTCCTTCCAAATTTACTTGACACATTCGTAAATTTGTACCTCCAAGATCAAGTGCAAGAAATGTACCTACTTCTTTGCCAGTTGGGATTCCGGTAACTGTATATATAAATATTTAAAAAAGGTGTGAATCGGATGATAAAATAAAATTTTGAAAGAAATGTTTAATTACCATAACTGGGAACCATGGCAACAGTTTGTCCATGTTTTTCAAGTCCTTTATTCATTTCATTACGAAAATGTTCAGAAATTTTTTTAAGTTTATCAGTGTTTATTTCAAATTCTTTTGTGATTTCATCAATCGCAGATTTTTGCGATTCTGAACAATCATTAAATTCTTGAAGTTTATCAGTGAAAGTTAATGGAATTGGAGTCATTTTTTTTTTTTAGGGATTTTTCCCACAAATTTCAAACATTTAAAAGAATAAGCATTGCATTTATATAAATATAATGTTACACCATCATCATACTTTATTAATAGTCAGATCAAATTTAGACTAGATTTATAATCATAATGTTGATTACATATCGATTTTGAAATAAAATAAATTGTTGATTACATATATAGGTTTACATAATAATTATTGAATTACTCATTTTTTTTATTTTCAAGTTCCTTTAATTCTTTTTCAATTGCATTTTTAACTACATTCGCTTCTTGATGAGCATGTTTTTCTGCTCTATGATCTTGAATACGTTCTTGACGAGCTATTTCTTCAGCTTTTTTTGCTTCTTCAACTGATGTATGAACTTCTGGTAGCGTGATTATAGCTTTATCGTTCTATTAAGTTTAGTGAAAAATTAATAAACAAGTTTAATAAATTATAAATAATGAATTACTTCTCTTTTTTTTACTTACGGTATTTTTCTTTGGATCCATTTTTTTTCCTTTTTTTTGGTGGATAATTTTTTCTCTCCAACGTATATTTATATAACTTTCCATATAAATGTTCATGTCATCATTAAATCATTCAAACTTCAGCCCAAGTCCATGATGAATCTATGTTATCATCGATCAGATGACATTGCCATTTATCATATAGGTAATTTACGTCATGACTGGTACTTCATAGTTTATAACTAAAGATCTACATATAGTAGATAGTATATACTTACTATATACTTATTGTATAGTATTTAGGCAATAACGTGCTGTTTTCGATTGAGGCCATTTGATTGGCTCAGATTGTGCCACGAAGTGGTACAATATGACCGATCAAATGGTTGAGATCGAAAACAGCCTAAAGACCCTATACAATAAGTGTTTTTATTATATAGACTCTCACGATCACACTATTAAATCAGTCACGAGTTAATTTATAGTCTATTTGTATAAAAATCTAATTTTATTAATTTTATGATGTATTTGTAATGATTTAAACAGTATTCATTTATTATATATATCATCAATAAAGCTATTCAATAAATGTAAAAAAAATACAGTGTGATCCTATAAGGATATATAATAATGACAAATTATTCTATAATAAACAATTTTGTTATCAGATGCGTATTTAACTTTTTAACAAAACTATCATTTTAACTTTATTATGGCTTTAAACAATTGTAACAATTAGCAAAAACAACAATTTTTGATTTCAGTTAAGTCGGCATCACTATTATAAATTCATTATTTTATTAGTACAGATAAATGTTGTTATTTCAGAAGATAAATTAAAATTTTGAAAAACTGTTTTAAATTTATTAATTTGAATAATAAAAAAAAATTTTTTTTTTAATGTTGATTAAGCGATATGTATATGAATGTAAATTTTCTAAATAATTAATACTAATCGATCAAAAACCGAAAAATTTATAAATAACGCTAATTTTTTCATTTAAGTTTCCATTGCTTCATCTTCTTCTTCACTATCTTCTGCTCCTTCTTGTGCTTTGATTGGTAAATCAAATTCTTGATCACATCCTGAATAAGAATCTGACATAAAGAATAATTTTAATGAATGTTCACCAGCTTCTGATGGACATGTGAAATCTAGTTTTACACTAAGAGATTTGTTTAAAGTAACACGTTTAATGCCAAGTAATGAATTCTTTTCCGTGTCACCAATAACAATCCACCATCCTTCATCTTTTTTATGAGGGAAAAATGGAGCAATTACCGGTCCTACAACTTCATCATCTTCTTCATCAACTTCACGAATAAGTTTCACATCAAGAGCACCTTGAGAACCTGCAACAAGTTCATCTTCGTCCCTTATACCAAACTTGACATCGATACTGGGATATCGATTAACATAGCGAGCAACTTCATATAATTGTCGTCCATCCATTTGAAGTATCTCATTTCGTTCATCGTCTTCGAGTTCCATAATGCCAAAAACATTATCAATTTCTCTTTCTTCACAGCGTTTAATAACATCTGCCATGAAATAAGGTATTTGTTTTAATGGTGATTCACTATCCCATAGAGCCTGAACACACATCTGTGCTAATTCCATAGAAGCTAATGCAGGTTTTAACCATCCACTGGAACTTATTACGTCAACTATTGATTGAATCAAAGGAATAACTTTACCCAACACAGCTGTTTGATCAGATTGCAAATCTGGTGGTAATTGTGTTCTTGAAAAATGAGCTTGTAGTAAAATATTAGTTTTAATATGCGGAGAATTAAATTTCGGATTTCCAAGTTTAACTGGTAGTCGGTCATATATCTTTTTAAGAACGGTATCTTCATGATGACGAACAGGAATAGATTCAAATTCAGCCGCTGACGATAAGATTTCTAAAAGCCCCTTGAGTTTGGTCTTTTCATTCAAACTCATACTAAACATCTCAACGGTAGTGTAACTAACATTATAATATGCAGCAATCATGCCTAAATTAAGTGGTGTTACGTCTAGTTCGTCTTCTAAAGCAATACATTTTGAAGCTGATAGATCGTTGACAGTTGTTTCAACTAATTCGGATAAATGATCTGATAGATGCCTATGATCAGAGCCTTGCATACCATAATAATTCGGATTTTCTACCATACGACGATATAAAAATGTCCAAGTTAGATAATCGACAGCATCTTGTTTATTCTCAATAGTTTTCGTGACAACTTCAGCATTGAAATGATCATGTAAGAAATGATCCAAATGTGACTCTACGGGTAATGCTTCGTATAAGAATTTTTTATAAAAGTCTTTTTTGATTGCTTGACACATCAATACACAGCGACCAGTATCATCATGTTGTGGTCGACAAGCCCTACCCATCATTTGAAGAACATCAGTTATTGGATAATCAGCATATCTATGCTCTTTACCCTCAAAGAATTGAGTTCCCATGACAATAACCATATGACAACTCAAATTTATACCCCAGCATGTGTCACGTGAAGCTACTACAACTTGTATTGCTCCACTTTCAAATAATTCTTCTACAATTCGTTTATCTTGTTTACTCAATGCTTCGTGATAAAAACCAACTCCATGTTGTAGAGTTTCAGCCAAAGCTTTATCATTTATTTGTTTCAAATGATCTTCAATATCACTCGCATGTGCATGAAGGAAACGATCCGTTGTTCCATCAGCTGCACAGAAAGTGAGTAAGTCTACGGCAGTAAGTCTACATTGCTTACGTGATGGTACAAATACAATTGCTGGTCTATCGGACGAATAATTCGTAATGGCGACATATGTTGGTTTAGCCATAGCCATCATGAGTGAAGCAAAATGAGGAATGCTGTAACTCTGGATATGAATTTCTAATGGTACAGGACGAACACTAGGATGAAAATTAAAAATGGTATGAGGGGTAGAACCGATCCACTCTCCGAGGTCTTGAGCGTTGGCTAATGAGGTACTTAAACATACAATACGAATTGGATTCTTTGTTTGATGAGCAATATAACGCATTCTTGAAACAATAATTTCGTACGTTGGTCCAACGTCACTGCCAATCAGATGTAATTCATCTGCTATGAACAATGCTACGGTTTGAACGTTTTTACGTTGTTTCCATCGACGGGACATTACATCCCATTGTGTTGGTGTAGCAAAAATAACATCACCACTTTCAAGTAAACGAAGGTCTGCACTTGTTTCACCGGTAAGTGCCACTATGTTTTTTCCACCTTGAATTTTACCAAATTTTTGTCTCCATTGTGCAACTTGAAGATCAACAACTTCTTGAAATGGCGCGATATATACACAGCGTCCGTGATTCGGAGTAGACCATAATCGAAGGAGTGCGAATTCAGCGCAAACAGTTTTACCGCTTCCTGTGGGAGCTCCAACAAAGACATTATCGTTCATGTTATATAAAGCATTGAATACCTGGGTTTGAATAGGGTTAAATTTATCAACCCATCCATTATATACAGCTTCATATTCACGATTGCGTAATGCTGATACAGGTAAAGGCTGCATATCAAGCAACTCTGTGTGTGGTGGATACTTTTTTGGAAGTATTAAATGTCTAAATGACATAGGTAATTTTGTTTCACAATGTAACCAACGATCCGAGATAATGGAAATAAAATAATTTGGTGGAAGAGGCTCAAAAAGCGGTACAGTAAATGTTATAACATGATCCTCTTCAGCGTATTTTTGTTTGAGTATAAATGAATCGTGGTATAATATAACTTCCCCGTCAACGTCTTCAACTACAACCCAAAAAGCTTCGGCCGTACCATGAACTTTTTCATCCCACATAAAATCGGGAGTAATTTTAAGTTCCACTCGTAGTAATGATCTAGTAATTGGTTGGACGTAAGTAACAAGCTCCAATTTTGGAAATTGATGAATAAATTTATGAATCAACTTTCCAACTTTAGGTATTCCAACAAGTTCACCAATCTCTTGTGGATTCAAGTCAAAGTATCTTTCCCAAGGAAAATCCTTCTTTTCTATTTTTTTAACTACTTCCATGGGCATTTGTTTAAATTGACGTAATGGTGACATCGAAAGCCACATACGCCTTTCTACCATTTTACAAAGATCTAAAGCCCTTCTAGATAATTGAGACCAACCTCGTTTAAGGCATATTTCAAACATTGCTCGAAGGATTCTACTTGCTGACTGCGTAATATAAACCATATCAGAAACAAGAGCAAAACCGTCAAGCTTAAGTTGTGAAATGTAAGCTTGTAAAAGAACATTAATTTTGGAAGTTGGCTCTTCAATGCCTTCTTTTACAGGTATAGGTACACGTTCAAGTAATTTAGATAGTTCAAGTTTTTCCTCCTCACGAACAGGAATATACTTGAATTCATCAGAAAGTGCGAATACACGAAATAATTCAATATGACCCATCATAGGTTTCAAGTGCTGGTTATAAGTCGACATTGAAGTGTGTGTAATATAAAAATGTGAAGCAATACGGCCCAATTCAGTAACCTGGAATCTACCAGTCTTTTTATCATACTTCATCAAATTAGATTTATCCAACAACATGCCAGCTGAATGAATTAAGTCTACACGTTTTTGTTCAAGATACGGGTCTTCTTCCAAATAGTCTGTTGAAATACCATAAAGAGTAGGATTACGTAACATACGAACATATAAATATGTATATCCTAACCACTGAACTGCTTCATCTCTGTTTCTTACAGTACCCAAAACTATTTCTGCATTCAAGTTGTCAGCCAATTTACTGACAAACTGACTTTCAATTGGTAATTGTTGATTAAGTAGAGATAAATAATATTGAAGCTCATTATGAGATGTTATAATTATGCCTTCACCAAAGGTATCATATTGTGGACGACCAGCACGTCCTAACATTTGAAGTACATCCTGAGGACTTAATTCTACCCAACGACCTTTTTCAGGTGAGTATACCTGAGTCCCTTTAATAATGACTGTATGTGCAGGTAGATTGACACCCCAAGCTAATGTTGCCGTGGACACAAGAACTTGAATATGTCCGTCAGCAAACAAGTCCTCAACTGTGGTACGATCAGTACGTGACATTCCCGCATGATGTATAGCGAATCCGAAAGGTAACAACTCGTAAAGGTTTGGATCTTTTATACTTGGAAGCTCATCTTGTAAAACTTCCCTACTGGCTGAACTAGGATTAAGAAATAATCTAAGTGTATCTTTTTCTAATGCCATATCTTTAATCGTTTTTGCCGTTTTTGCAGTTTCTTTTCTTGAATGAACAAATATCAATACTTGATTCTTTCCAGCTTGTTCTACGACTTTTTGATAGGTAACTTCGTTCATAACTTGAAACCGTTTGATTGCTTTCTTTTCTGTGACACCAATAAATTCCTGTTTTAATGGACATGGACGAAATGAGCTGTCGAAATGGAACAAGCCTTTCTTTGGATCTACACGTAAAAATGTAGCTACATCGCCATAATTAGGAAGTGTAGCTGAAAGTCCCACTAATCTAATCATTTCTTGAGTTTGCTCCATGTGGCGAATAGTACGAGATACAATGCTTTCTATTACAGGACCTCGATCGTCATGAAGCAAATGTACTTCATCAATAATAATAAGCCTAACAAGATTTGTATAACTTCTATCGGTTGCTTTTCTTGTTATAACATCCCATTTTTCAGGTGTAGTGACTATAATCTGTGTTTCTGAAATTTGCTGTTTAGTGAGTTGACGGTCACCAGTTAATTCAGAAACCTTAATACCGTATTGTTGTAATCGAGAAGAAAAGTTGCCAACCATCTCTTGTACAAGAGCCTTCATTGGAGCAATATATACGATCTTAAAGGCATCTGTATCAATAATACCTGTTTCTTCATTACGATTTTTCTCCATCTCATTAAGAATACACAGCATGGCAACATTTGTTTTTCCTGAACCAGTTGGTGCACAGACTAATAAATTTTCATCCTGTTCAAACGCAACTGGATAAATTTTACTTTGTATACGATTAAGGATTCTTGCACCTTTGAAGGCACCATGTACCCACGGAGGAAGCTCTTCAATTGATATGAGCCTTTCATTTTCTGCATGTGGTTTTGGTTTTGGTGCTGGGACATGAATTTCTTCATAACCCTTTTTGGTACTTTTAAATGATCCCTCAGGCAATTTACATGTTTTATTTGACATTACATGGCCACCTTGAGTAAACATTAAAGATTCTAAGTCTATTACTGCTTTCGGTGTTGCCGTTGTACCAGGAGGTAGCGTAGCTTTGACAGCAGCTGGTACCGGACCATGAGCCAAAGCAGGTTTATCATCAATTTCCATTGCATCCTCCACAACACCTTTACGTGCGGCACCTTCTCCACGACGGATTCTTTCTCCACCAAGATCCCTCAAAATCCATTCTAGTCCATGTTCACGCATTTCACGTTCAATATTTTGACGTTCCGCCCCATCGGTACCAGCTCTAGCTAGCTTAGTACACCATACAATTAACTCGCGATTACGTGTTAATATCTTTACAAGATCGAATTTGTCATATTCAAATAAAGCCATCAACTCATTTTCGCAATCTCGTGTATTTACGTCTGATGCAAGAATCTGCATAGTGCTTGAAGTTTTTTCTTGTGCTGTATGTGGATCTGAATAATAATTAGCTACCAAACGTTGAAGCCAAAAGGCATCAATATCGTGTGGTGATATTTTTTGTTCTGTCTGTGCAGAGGTAATTTTTCTGGATTTCGATATTTCAGGTCCTAAAACTGTTTTAAACCCTTCGTTTTCTTCATCTGTGACAATCTCTTTGTCTTCATCATCCTCAACTTGCCCTACGCCCAACACTCCACTTGTCTCTGCTTCTACTCCTTCATCATCTTCCTCTTCTTCCCCTGATTCAACCTCATACGTTCCGTATTCATCTTCCTGTTCTTCCTCTTCATCAAAAACTACAGCAACACCTAATTCATCATCAATTTCTCCTGCAAGATCTCCCTCTTTATCGAGATCCATTGTCTCTCCTGTATGATAATCTGTTATTTTTTTACCTAGATTAACCAACTGAGCAAACCGATCAGGTGCAATTGTACCGATGAAAGACTCAATTTCTCTTTTTTTATCAAAATCTTTAAGATTTTCATTCTTCAGTATTTTTAATATATCATCTGCAGCACTACGAATGACATCTTGAGCCTGATCGCCAAGGTTTTGGTGAACAAATGCCAATATTAGTTCATATGTCTCCCGGGTTTCCTTTGTCCTTGGTCTATAAGATTGTTCATCGAAATATTCTGTTGCAGCTAGTACATTGGAATAACCATATGCTTTTTTTAATGCACTACAAAATTAATAAAATATTTAAAATTAGCTTTGTTAAGTTATCAAATCGTAAAGATCAAAATAAATGAACAGCAAAATAACCTTTCTTCTTTTCGACGTTTCTTCTTTTCTTCAACCTCAGCAACATGTTTGGCTTTTTTCTTTTTCGCTTGTATATCATTTAAAGTACTCCTTTGAGCTCGGCTACCAAAATCTTTTGGGTTAATTTTGCCCCATAACGACTCCGGCTCGCCGGAAGGTTCATGATCTCTTCTTGGTAATTCAGATCTATTGGCCTGAAGGACAAGATTTGAATTTGCAGTGTATTGATATTGATTTCCCCTTGCAATTTGCTCAGCCATTATTATGATGAATAAAACTTTTAGTTAACGTAAAGTCGACCAGCAAGAACCATATTTATAATGCTTTAAAGTGCGTGACCAAAATAGTAATGATCGGCTGATAAGTTTGTGGGTCACAGTTAGTTCAATCACGCTCTTTTTTTTTCGATCAGATTACGAAAAATTTTTACACTATCATAATGGCTGGAAGAGTTCCAATGATGGTATGATTATTTATTTCGATATTCAGTTTGTGAGTACAGTCAACTCTCTCTATAAGTACATGAAGGAATATAAGTTTAAGAACGCAATTGGGAATTATACCTCGTTGTCTTACGACGTCTTATGTTAATTGTTGACTGTATTTATTGACTCATTATTACATAAATAGAGAAAAAAATCTATTAATTTGATTGAAACGTCATTGTCTTATCCAACTCTATTTTGGTTGATTATATTAGCAACCCCAAATTATCTTGCTCAAAGAGGGAACGGATGCGTCTCAAGGTCGTGGTCAACTTCTATCCAATATCAATGCTTGTTTAGCAGTAGTTGACACTGTTAGAACAACATTGGGACCAAGAGGCATGGATAAATTGATCGTTGATGAAAAGGGTAATTTGAAGATTATTTGTAGTTTTTATGTTTTATAGAGAATGGTCATAAATACCATTTATGTGTAGGGGAAGTTACAATCTCGAATGATGGTGCTACGATTATGAAACTCCTGGATGTTGTGCACCCCGCTGCAAAGACTCTTGTCGACATTGCAAGATCACAAGATGCCGAAGTATGAATCAGTTACTAGTTTCTATCACGTGATTTCGCTGATTTTTTATAAATTATTTTAGGTTGGCGATGGGACCACAAGTGTAGTCTTGCTCGCAGGAGAATTGTTGAAAGAAGTTAGAGGATATATTGAAGATGGAGTTAGTCCTCATATTATTATTAAGGGTTATAGAAACGCTGCTCAATTGGTATAACAAATTTAAGTTTTTTTTTTTTTATTTTGCAAGTTACCCAATTCTATATTTATTTATTCACGTAGGCAATAAATAAAATCAAAGAAATTGCGATCACGATTGAGCGTACTGATGATATGTAAGTTTTTACATCTTTTTACTCAATTATATTCTACTAACCTTTTCTAAAATTATTTGTTATTAGTCAATTTCGAGATCTGCTTAAGAAATGTGCCGGAACAGCTATGTCTTCGAAACTCATTCACTCGCATGAAGATTTCTTTACAGATATGGTCGTTAATGCAGTATTGAAACTGGATCAAGAAGAATTAAATGAGAAATTAATTGGTGTAAAGAGAATTCCTGGTGGTGCCATGGAGGTAAAGTCATAGTATTTTTATGATTTATATTTACATATTTTTACACTTCATAGTCATTTTTATAAAACTTTTTGTTATTCTAAAGGATTCCCTACTTGTTGATGGTGTTGCTTTCAAAAAGACATTCTCATATGCTGGATTTGAACAACAACCAAAATCGTTTAAAAATCCTAAGATATTGTCCTTAAATATTGAATTAGAATTAAAAGCTGAAAAAGACAATGCAGAAGTCAGAATCGACGATGTTTCGGTACATATCATATTTTATCTTATTAAATTTGTCTTTTTAATGGTAATTTTATAATGAATGCTAAACTTTTAATAGGAATATCAAGCAATTGTTGATGCTGAATGGACCATTATATATTCAAAACTTGAAACTATTGTTAACGCTGGAGCAAAAGTAGTACTTTCAAGATTACCGATTGGTGATTTAGCAACTCAATATTTTGCTGATAGGGATATCTTTTGTGCAGGTCGAGTACCTGCCGAAGATCTTAATCGTGTAGTAAATGCAGTTGGTGGCTCGATGCAAACCACTGTTTCTAATATTGAGGATAAGCATTTAGGTACATGTGAATATTTTGAAGAAAAACAAATTGGTGGTGAAAGATTTAATATCTTCGAGGGTTGCCCTGCAACAAAAACCTGTACTCTCATTTTAAGAGGCGGTGCAGAACAATTTATTGCAGAAGTAGAAAGAAGTTTGCATGACGCAATCATGATAGTGAAAAGATGCATTAAGAATAATTTGACAGTTGCTGGTGGCGGTGCCACGGAGGTTTGAAAACTTTATTTTTTTTGTTATATAAATTTTTGTTATTTGTTGGATACTTAATTACATTCTTTTATCTTATAAGATGGAAATATCTAAATATCTTCGAGATCATTCTCGGACAATTGAAGGAAAACAACAATTGATTATCGGTGCTTTTGCACGTGCATTGGAAATTATTCCCCGTCAATTATGTGATAATGCAGGTTTCGATGCAACCGATATGTTGAATAATCTAAGAATGAAACATGCCCAGGGTAATTCTAATAACCACATTTAAATGATATTTGTATTTTTATTGCATCAAAAAAATATGATTATAAATGATAACTATTTCTGATTACAGGTGCTCTTTGGTATGGTGTGGATATCAATGCTGAATCTATTACTGACAATTATGAAAAGTTTGTTTGGGAACCTGCACTTGTAAAAACAAATGCAATTGCCGCTGCTACAGAAGCAGCATGCTTAATTTTAAGTGTGGACGAAACTGTGAGAAATCCAGCATCAGAAAAACCTCAAGGTGGTCCTCCAATGCCAAGAGGTGGGGCTCAAAGATCATTTAGAGGTCGTGGTCGTGGTATTCCACGATGAAAAAATTGAAAATTGTGTATTAGAGTAAATAAAGACAAATACTTCTTTATGTTTCCATTGTATCATTACTACTTTGACGGTCATTACATACAACGCCCATACATTTAAACCCTTCCTCATTTCCAGCTAATAATAACAATAACAGTTTTTATAAACTTTTAATCAATGAAATGTTGATAATTGCAAAGTTAATAGTCAATATTATTCTTACCTTTCCACAAGCGAACTTTTCCGTCATCTCCTGCCGAAGACAAAATTGTGCCCGTTACATTCCATTTGACTTTCCATACCTGTAAAAGAATAAAATATTTAAACGAAAGCATTTTTAAGAATTCTATAGAAATTATAACACAATTACCTCTCTGTCATGATCGAGAAATTCTGCTACTGCATCAACTTTAAACCCATCTTTATTACCTGTCAATTTATAAATTCTGACGCGAGTATCTTTTGAAGCTGTTGCAATAAGTTGATAACTCCTAATAGAGATAATAATTAAAAAAAAAATGTTATACATAGAACAACTATATTGCTTTACAATTTATTCTATACCTTCCCATATTTGGAGCCCAATCTACATCATGTACTAAATCTTGATGTCCATCCAATATCTCACATGAACGCCATTTACTATTTTGATCACAACGGAATATCTTAAAAAGAAATAAAAAAAAATTGTAAACATGTTTTCTATAAACACGTAAATGATTCAACAAATAATTACTAACTTTGGCGCTATTTTCTTTCCCACAACCAACTACAATCATTGGAAATTGATAACGAGACGGACACCATGAAAGACAATAACTTTCCTCCGCGTCTTTAAATGTAGATGGATTAGCATTTCTAGACGAATGCACATTTATTTCGTCCATTAAAGTCCATTGTGTCAAGTCGGATACTTCAAGAGCTTCATATATTCTAAGTACACCATCAGCAGCAATTGAAGCCTAACATTGTAACGAAAAACGAGTCTATGCTAATAAACAATATAGAAACAGATATTATTAAATATAAAAATAACTTACTAATCTTAAGCCCATGAAATTTGGCGCGAATGCGATATCTTGAACAGAACCTTTAGCATCAATTAAACGCGCTTTTTCCATCCATCGTTTTCCACTATTTTTTGATTCTATAATAGAATTAAAAAAAATGATTAAACGATAAATTACATCTAATCATATAAATTGAAATTGAAAAATAACATTACCATGTTCTTGTTCTTCCCAGATACGAATAGATCGGTCAAAAGAACACGAAGCAATTACTTGACCAAACTCGGGGTGAGCCCAAGCAACTTTTAAAACGGAGCATTCATGTGCCTAAAATATTTATATTTTACATTAATAATATAGTTTAATAAGCTTTAGTACAGGATATAGATTGATAATTACCTTCCAAGAATCAACTTGTTCCCAAGTATTTGTTTCCTGGTTGAATTCCCATACTTTAAGTTTTTGATCAGAAGAACAAGTTACAAAGCGTTTTCCGTAAAAGTCATAGGCAACATCATGTATTAAATCTTCATGTAAACTATCAAAAGGTTGGACAGACATTTTATAAATTTTTATCTCTGCATTATTAGAACAAACAATTGTTCACCAGTCGTCATTCATTTATCCTTGTTGCTTACACAAAGAACTCGTGGTCATTTTTATCAAAATATTTTGAGATGCAAATTTCGGAAAACTCCAAGGTTTTGAAACGGACCGATTACCGAACAATCAGGAATGGTTACATAACTTGCATTTAATGTTTTAGATCTTCTCCCAAACTTTAACAGAATGACACCAGTATCAGAACTATATCAAAGATTATTTTTTCCTCATTATATTATAAATTTTTTCTTTTGTTTGCCATATTTCATTATTCGTAATGTATCTATATTTAAAAACCATCTGGATTTATCTCTTGAGGTATTAACTAAAGCAAATACATTGAATCCTTTAATTAATAAAATATCTTATGAATAATATTTTTAACTTGATTAGCCACCAGAAACAAAAATATATTTAGCGATTGGAGCCCTTATTATATTAAAATTTAGAGCTTCAGCGAGCGCAGAAGAATGGATATCAATATCTTTTTCGTATTTGAAAATATTAAATATAATTATGTTTTATCTCTTTGGTAAAACATTATGGGCTGTTTTATATGCAATAGCGATGAGTGGTGAATATTTTTATGCTTAAATGCTTTTTTTTTTTTACTTTTCCTTTCCTATTGTTCTGTAAAATAATCGTTTTGTATTTATAGTCCTCTTTGTAGTTTTGCCACAACCTCGGTATCAAGGACCTTCAAAAATAATTGAATTGAGTGATCAAGATTTGTATGATATTAAACATAATAAATTTCACAAGCTTGAAGAAAACATTAAAAGTGAAAAAGGTAAAGGCAAACAGGTTGATCAATATTGGATAATATTTTTTTACACTACATGGAGTAAAACTTGCGAAGTTTTTGAGTATACTGTAGCAAAAGCTTCTATGAAGTAAGTTGTCTCTTTATTACTTAATATTGTATAATGCAGAAACACGAGTAAATATTTTATTTATTTTTTTTTTTTTTAAGATATACAACATCGAATGTTTATTTTGGTAAAATTGATTTGGATTTATATACAAATGTAGCTGAGGAATATGAGATTTCATTATCAGCCGCAAGTCTAGATTTACCTGCTTTAATTCTTCTAAAAAATGGCAAAGAAAATGGCAGATTACCCAAAAGAGGTAAGGATAATGAACAATTGGAACAAATAAAGAATCAAAGACTTAGAAATGTTAAAGAAACATGGGATCGGTTAGGATGGGATCGTAGTATGGTTTGTATTATAATTTCTCTTGCAAGAATAATACTTAAAATATACGTACCACAAATTAATTTTACTTTCAATTTGTTATAATAGAAATCTATTATTGAAACATTTAAGCTTGACACTTTAAACAAAACCGAGTAAATCATATATTTAATGAACTATTTAAACTATTTAATATATATATATTTTTTTTTTTTTAATAAAGCCTTAAATAGGCGTATATAATAATGACTACGCCAAAAAAAGTATCACGTTACGCACTTTATTTATACAGTACCATCATTGTCATTTTCGTTGCTGATTGCGGTTGTAGCAGGATCGTTATTATTAATTTCATGGTTATGATCAAAATTTGTGGCAATTATCTCCCATAAACCAGTAGCAGCGTTAACGGAAGCACGAATCAAAAAAGGACAATCACAACGTTGCGAAGGACGATTCCGTATTGGTTTAATACCGGATTTTTTACTACTTGGAGTACCAGAACGTGAACATACAATTTCTCTCCATCTAACAACTCCTTCCCTATTACGTTTTACAGTGTTTAAACGCATAGTGAAACCATTTCTCGTAGAATATTCTTGTACTGCCACTACAAAATCTGTATGAGAGGTGAATGTCGCACCTTGTTTTAAGAATATGTTGTTATCATTTAATGTCGTAGAAGTAGAATTTGTCGCGTTTGAATATTGAAGAACAAGATCATTATTGTTCAGTTGTTGTGTTGAAGACGAGTTGTTGATTTGAAGCTGTGATATAACTGGTGTTAACGGTACAGCAATTGGTTCTAAACAACTATTAAATTCTGTTTTTACTTCTTCTGTCGTTATTGCATCAACTTCTTCTGACATTAGTTCTGTATATTTAGGTACTGCTACCTGAACTGATGTTAGATGTGTTGGGGTCGTTGGAAGTCTTTTAAGTTTTTTCATTTTCCAAAGTCCACTCCTTCTGCCTTTAATCAATATTATTATGATTTTTCCCTTAAAAAGAAAATTACCAGAATTTGTTCGTGATTTTGATATAATGTTAACTATTTTTCATTTTAAATATATAATAATATTTTCAACGATAATCATAAATTTCTTCGTTAGGTCTCTTTACGAAAAAAAAAAATTATACAGGTACAAAATTTTAAATTGATTTTTATTGGATAATCTGGTTTCACGTGATTTCTTCACAATTAGCAGTACGGCTTAGCTGTATATAAATGAATATAGGAATAAAACTATAATGATACATTTTAAAGAACACACTATATATAACATACAGTATATGTATAAGAATATAATAAACAACATTGTTTAATATGCAATGCATAATCAATATTAATTTACAATAATGTATTATTAAATATATACAAAAAAATTATTTCAAATCAGATTTCAATATTTACAAAAATATATTTTAATTATAGAACTTTATAATATTTTATATAGCCGGTATGTCGGGTTTTTCCTTATAGATAATATCTTTTTTGTAATCAAAAGAATGTTTTCAATGAATTATAATAAATAAATTTTTAAACCAGGTAAATGTCCTTTCTAGCTAGCTTTGTTAGTTGAAAACCTTTATGATTATAATAAATAAGGTATACACTATACAGATTAAGTAATACAACATCTATCTATTTGTTTTATATGAAAATATTTTCTTATTGTACAGTATAAAAGTTTTTACCACTAAAAATATGGAAAGAGCTCTTTTTTAAGTAATTCTTTTGAATATTTGAAAATTTACGTGAAGTTTTTCTGTTACTAAATCGTAAGAAAACTAATATATCAAGCTGTGTATGAATGCTGAAATATAACTGACTGGTTTACTTTTCACATACTTAGGCCTTCAGAACATTTCTCGAGTGACATGTGCATTCCTCTTCTGCACCGAATAACATAATTATGCTAATTAAAGTTATATACCATATTTTTTCACACGATTATTATTTTGGATAAATTAAACCAGCATTTTTCAAATTTTCGAGTTAATACATGTACGAGCATCCAGTTGTTAATCATTGCTTAATTAATAATGCAACCAATTTAATATAAATAGCAACTAAGTTTCAAGCAAAATAAAACACCGTTGGAAAATGTTCATAGGAATTGCTGGACCAATTTGTTCTGGAAAACATTCTATCGCAAAGTGGCTTGTTACAACTCGCGGTTTTACATTACTTTCACTTAAAGGCACTGAACATTATGGTTTTAACGCGTTACATTTTAATACTCCAAAAGACTTATTATTTTATGTTACGAAGAATTGGATAGATAACTTTGTGACTTGTGATATTGATAACCATAAAATTCTCGAATTATATAGGTTTTTATCTTATTCATTATTAAACTGTTTAAGTAACATGTTACCCTTTAAATTAAACCCATTTATGTTTATTTCAACTAGGAAACGACCATTCTTCTTATTGTTGGCTGTAGACAGTCCTATAACAATGCGTTATCAACGATGCATTTTTCGGTAATCACGAATTTAAATTATAGAATTATTTTGATAAATCCTAAACTAACTATGTTTTAAAGTTGTCGAGAATTCGGACTAACTGAACCAACATTGGATGAATTTATTATTGCAAGTGATCAAAATTTATTCAATGCTAACGCCCCAAGTAATGAATTCTCATTATCAATTACACAAGAACGAGAAACATCGATGGCATCAGATGAAGATGATGATTATAATACTGCTACATCAATATATGAAATAATGTCACTTGCAGATATATGTATAGCTAATTCGTACTTGTCGTTACCACCTCTTTATTCTTACCTTCTTAATATAAATATTACAGATCCAGATCGATTAAGACCAACATGGGACACTTACTTTATGCATCTATCTGATTTAGCAGCTTCTAGATCTAACTGTATGAAACGTAAAGTTGGCTGTATATTGGTGAAAAATCGTAGAGTTATAGCAACAGGTTATAATGGAACGGCAAAAGGACTAAAAAATTGTAATGAAGGTGGATGTGAACGTTGTAATGATGCTTTACCATGTGGAAAAGATTTAGATTATTGTCTTTGTCTTCATGCAGAAGAAAACGCGTTATTAGAAGCGGGAAAAGAAAGAGTTGGCGAAGGATGCATTTTATATTGTAATACGTAAGTTTTTAATAAAAAATATTATATTTTAACGTTGATTTATATTCTAACGATTATTTATTATCCTTTAGATGTCCTTGCATAAGTATGATGAAATTAATTTAATAGTTCTTTTTAAAAAAATGAAAAAAAAAAATAAATTTATGAAGGTTCGTTTATTTAGGATGTTCGATTAAACTAATTCAAATTGGAGTTACTGAAGTTGTTTACCATCGGTGAGGAATCATAATTCTTGTTTAAGTTACATTTGTATATATTTACGATTTATTTTTTTTTTTAAAAAAAAAAATAAAAAAGATCTTATGGTATGGATGAAAAAGCCACAAACATTCTTAAAGAAGCCGGTGTAAAATTACGTCAGCATTCACCCCCAAGTAAAATTTCTTCGTTAGAGAAAAAAGATATTATAAACATTGAACCAATGGAACAAGTGTAATATGACTCATTCAATAAATAGATATGTTACTGCTAATAGTTAATTTTAATATAATTTCCCTTTTTATGTATAGTAATATAAAATGAACATGCTTCCGTGTTTGGCTTCCTAATTCTAAATAAATTAATCTGTGCGATGTAAATTTGTATAACATTATTCAAAGTAACACAAAAGTAACACAAAACTAAAATATAAATTGGGTAAATTTCTCGTTTCATCATTGATTTTTGAAACTAAATTTTTGAAAATAAAAAAACATAAATATGAATGACACTAAAAATTCAATTGCTCGAGTTGAAGAAATTTTTTCAATTCCCTATGACACATCGCGTTGGGATTATTCTCAATTTACAAATCCTTATGAGTTTCAATGGAAAGTTGGAATTACACCATTTTCTAATTGGCAGGTAAATTCCTTTTAGAATTCCCTTGATAATTCTTAATTAAATAAAGTGTGATTCAATCGAGTATTAAATTAATTCTAATTATTTATTTATGGTTTTTTTAATTAGTTTGTCGTGGGTGTTTGGGCAACTTATTTTGTGACTATTGTCTCCTTGAAGGTGTGGATTTTTTCGCGTCTTTCTTTAATTCATTATGAATAATAAAAATAACTTCACGAATTTTTTTATATTAGTATATTATGTCATTTAGGGCACCATTTTCAATGCGATATATAACAGCAATTCATAATCTATTTCTATGTATTGTATCGGCTGTTATGTGTGGATATGCTATAATTGACGTTATTCGAAGATATCAGGTAAATTTGTTTAAACAATATCAATAAAATAATTATTTAATCTTCTTTTTTTATATATATATATGTATCAGGAACATGGCATAGGAGAATGCTTTTGTACCTCTGATTCTTCTTTAGCCAAAGGAAGAATATCTTACGTTACCTATATTTATTATTTATCAAAATTTGATGAATTATTTGATACTGTGATCTTGGTTTTAAAGAAGGTAAAAATCTTTTTCCAAATCTTGATAAATTTTGATTAAAGTCTAAAATTTAGCTTTTTTTATATTAGAAATCTATTATTTTTCTTCATTGGTATCATCATGCGATTGTCATCCTTATGGTTTGGTCCTGGCTTGAAGATTCAATTATGTATGCTAGGTAAAAATTATAAATTATTATTAAATTTTGTTTAGATTAAATAGATTAAAGAAAGACAAAATATACTTATAAAACAAAAAAATTTTTCTTTTTAAAATAAGTATCGGCATGATTGCAAATACTCTTGTTCATGTGTTTATGTACTATTATTACTTTTCTGCTTCATTGGGAAGATCCGTATGGTTTAAGGTATACATTTTCTACTTCAATTAATTAATAATAATTCATAAATCAACCAGTATTCTTAATTGAATTTTTTTTATTATAGAAATATATTACAACAGGACAAATTGTACAATTTACCATATCATTTATATTAGCGATACCATATCTTTATTTTCATTTTACAAATAATTGTCAATTAGGTTTTGTCTCATTTGTATTTTCAATGGTTTGTAATGGAAGTTTTTTGATATTATTCATTAGATTTTATAAAAAAGCATATAAAAGTGGTGCCGGGACCAAAAGAAAAGAAATGTAAATAAACCATTGAGAAAAAACCGAGTAAAAATTTTTAATAAACATCCATTAAATTTTTTCTAAAAAGATAATAGATCTGCTGATGATCTGATAAGTTTATAGGTTGATCAGAATAAGATCCGCATCATCTTAACATCTTAATAAATTTTATTAAATAATTAGAAATGACTTTTAACTTGAATTGTAGAAGGAGATTGGATCAATTATTTTTGTATAGAAATGTAAAAACTTCTCAAGTTTTAGTTACAATAGGAAGACATATACAGGTAAATTGTTTTTCTTATTTAAAAAAAAAAGAAGAGAAAAGGTTTTTTTTTTGAGGCGGAATAAAATATCTATTATAATAACATTTTTTTTTTTTAAGGGAAAAAATTTAAAACAAATAGATGAAGCATTGCGTCCTTTTAAACTTCGTAAAGATCATTGGACTCCATTTATAGCAATTTCTGGATTTACCTCCTATAGTTTGGTAATGGCTACCAACAATATACTTTTAAATAAGATTCAAAATCGTCCAAAATCTCCCGAGTATTACAAAATGGAAAAACGTTTACGTATTCACAAAGATATGGATTTAGTTGAAACAAGTGTATTAGGGTTATGTCAATCTTTACAACAACTTGTAGTGCGCAAAATGATATCGGAAGAGGAAAATAATTTATTAAAAATTTATTGGGAAAGAATGGCAATGATGGATTTACCAAAAGAAAAATTAGGATTAGATTGGCCAAAATTTGTTCAACATGAAAAGTTAGAATTAAAAAGAGATAGACTGTTTATGAATGATGAATTTAAAAGGATAAAAAAGTCTTTGGCCGAAAGAAAAGATAGGAAAGATGTTAAATTTAAGAGAAGTATTTACGACAAGAAAAAAGAAGAAAAGGAAAATCGAGTGAATCAAGCGAATCAAGCTGGGAATACAAGTGATATAAATCAAACCAAATAGAAATAGTAACTTATAACTTAAGCTACAAAAAACAAATTTTTATTTATAGTGAATATTTTGTATTAAATAAAATCTATAAAATTCATACTCGATGACCACGAGGTTTACTACTACTACTGCTGCTGCTGCCGCCGCCGCTGCTGCTGCTACCGCTGCTACCGCCGCCGCTACGTTGTTTTACAGATACTCTTCGAACTTTGTCAATAATAACACTAAGAGCATCAATATATTCTTGCCATTCTTTACGGTTTCTTGCATTTTCTGGGTTTTCACCTAACAAATCCTTCAGATTATTGCTATTTGGATCATGTTTGTCCACTTCTGGTCCTACTAGTTTGAAATAACCAAGTAAATCCATCTTTAGACGTATAGAGAACTGGTGTACCAAATAATATTCAACTATACGTGGAATGACTTCTCGAAATTTTGTATGAGCCATTTTCCAATATGCTAAAGCTCCCTATCAAAAAAAATGAAAAAATTAATTCAGTTATGTAAAAGCATTACTTGATATGACAATAAATAAGTTACCGTAGCAGCAAGGAAAGCGTGTTCACTTATTGTATTTCTTAAAATTGATTGATTTACAGATTCTTCGTTAGATTTAGAAGGAACTACCCCAATTAATTTGTCCAAATATTGATTCTTTATTGACAACATCATAGATAATGTAGCGGTTGATGGCATTTCTGACATAATTTTAGAACTCTTAATTTCGTCAATCAATTTTCGAGACGAATCACTTTTATTATCCATTTCTGAAAGAATTTCAGTCAGATCATTTTTTAATTTCTCAAATTCTTCTTCATCGGCATCATCGTCGTACATCATATCAAATATCTTTGATCCTAAATCAACGATTGATCTTAAATCATTACTTTCTTGTTTAGAAGATGCTGATAATATTCGATATTTAATAAAATATTTTGATTGTTTTTTAAGGAGACTGGCTTCATCGGTTACATAAAGGGCCCTGCTAGCTGACATGTGTTCCATTTTATGAAGGTCCTTTAAGTGTTTCAATGTTTCATCTTTACATTGTTTTAATAAATGACGTAAAATTCTCCTGTTTAATTATTATTAAAATTTCTTTTAAGTAAATTGATCTGTCACAGGCTACGTAAGAAAGGATTGTAATACTCACCTAATTTCTTCGACAGCATTTGGAAATTCTCTAAAGATCGATTCTACCATTTCATCAACGAATTGCCTGACCCAATCGTGATTTTTATCTAACAATTTGGTTGAAATCACCGACCAATCTTTTTGATGTTTCGCAACAATAGCAACTACGGCTTTATATGGAAAATACCCAACCAATTGACCACCTTGACTTTCTTGTACAGTTTCACATAGTTGATCTAATTCCCAAACATACTCACTAGAATAACTATCATCCGTCCCACCCCAGTTATCAGCCATAATTTCATCTTTTAATTTTTGTGTCCATCCACGATACTGTAATGAACCGGGTTTTATAGGATCAAACATTTCGTTTATTGACTCTCCGTCAAACGCGAGTTTATATCTTGGACGAGTGTTCAATAATGCTTGGTCAAATTGACCAAAATTCCATTGTTGACCACGATATAACTTATGATCTACATTTTCAGCATTTGCATGAGAAGTGAACAATTTATCAAATATTCCAATTAATTCTAAGAACCGGTTAGTAGGATTTCCATCGGGTGGTAGTGGTAGTGCATTTAATTTTTCTTGAAATTCAGATCTACGATCTTCCAAAAAAGGGTGTATTCTTGGCCATGTCCGTTCATGTGCCTTTCGTTGTAAATCGCTTAATTTTATAGTCAAATTTTGTAAACCAAATCGATCAGATGGCACCTCTCTCCAAATCCTATTCTGTTTAAGAGCTCTGACTGTCGCTTTTTCCAACTCATCTGGATCCTCACGCATTTCTGAATTGGTAGGATTTCTTATAACGTAAGTACCATTTACAAGTTTGTGCTCCCCTTGACCTTTTACAAGAGTAGAAAGTTCAAGATGTTTTTCGTCATCATTTGGATAATCGACAATACGATCCATTTTCGTTAAGACGCCCACTGTACGTTGACCGGTAGGATCTGCTTCACGCGCAAGACGATATGCGCATTGTGTAGCTATATCAGAAGTTGCTTGAAATATTGGAACCAAAATTGCCGATTCTTTTTTAATATATTCTTTTACCAAAGATAATACGAATTGTTCGTGGCTTTCATCGTTTCTTACAACTCCTACATGTAGTTTTAATGAGGCATAAAAAACGTATTAAATTTTTGAATTTCATTCCACCATTTACTTTTTCTATTTACCTGGCAAGTCGACCATGGATAAACTGTACATCTGGTCTGGACCGCTGATTGTAACACATACAGCATTTTTTGTAAAAGCTAACTCATCGGAATCAGGTGGCAATCGTGTATTTTCAACATCTGTAATACTCGGATTCTGTACGTAACGTTGAGCTTCGCGCAATTTTTCTTCTATTTCATCCTCATCCAAATCTGTTATAATAGCAAACGGGATTTCCCTTGGAGTTATCGGTTTACTATTTTTATCTTCTATGTAACGTAATGAGATTTTACGTAACGGTTCCTCAGTTTGTAACATACGTATTTCGAAAGGTGTAGCCGTACATTTTGTGGATCCCCTGTTTATGATTACATAAGAATTTTGTTTTTTTTATTTTAAAAAAATAATTCTTTTTTTTTCTTACCTTGGCATTGGTAAACCACCAGTCAAACGTTGTAGAACAGAACTTTTACCACTTGATTGATCACCAAATACAACAATAGTTGGAGTGTTCTCTTCAAATTCATTGAAAATGCCAAGTTTCCTTATTTCACACATAACATCAATATAATCCTTAGCATTTGGTGTTTCTGCTAGTGGAGAATTTAGTCGGTGACCCACCATTTTGCTTAATTTTTCTTTGCAAATTCAGTAAAAAAGCAAAATTTTAATAATGTATAGTAGATAAAAAATAATAGTTTGTTTAAGGAAGGGAAATGAAGTTCAGTTGTATTTTATAATGAAATTTTTTTTTATTCGTACTTAAAAAGATTTTTTAAGTTACAATTTTCATTATTTATTCCTTAAACGGATTTTATTAAAAAAAAAAATTTTTCAATTGATTTTTTTTTATCCATTATGATAAGGTACCTTTTTGCATAATTTTGCATATATTTTTAGCTTTTAATCAGTGCGAAGATCTCTTTGTTTCTATAATGAGGTAAGCTTAATCTGAATTTGGAAACTATGGTCTCATTTTAAATTTACCGGTGGATAAATGATGGATAAAATGATGGTAAGGTCGTAATATAAAGTTTATTAAATATAAATTTAGGACTAGGTGACTAAACATAACATAATGAATAAGAGGTTGAAGAATCATTTTGTTATAAAAAAAAATTTATTTCTTTTTCAAGCGATAAATCAAAAATATATACGTATATAATATAATATATAATATATATTAATATAATTTTTTTTTAAAATACATGCAAACTATCGTCCCTGCTATTGCAGCAAGTAATGGTACTTGAGTATTCATTACTTTATTGGATAAGTAATGTATAATTGAATTTGTATCTAATGGTAGTGGAAGTGCATTTAATTTTTCTTCAAATTCAGTTCTTCGATCTTCCAAAAAAGAACGAATTTTTGGCAATGACCGTTTATGTTCTTTTCTTTGTAAATCACTTAATTTCATCGTTAGATTTTGCAATCCGAATCGATCAAATGGCACATCTTCCCAGATTATATGTTGTTTAAGTTTTCTAATTGTTTCCTTTTCCAATTCATCTGGATCCTCATGGATTTCTGAAAGAACACTGGAAGGATTTCTTATAACATAAGTACCATTTACAAGTCCTTGACCTTTTACAAGAGTAGCAAGTTCAAGGTGTTTTTCGTCATCACTTTGATGATCGACGATACGATCCATCTTTGTTAGGACACCTACTGTACGTTGACCGTTTGGATCTGTTTCACGCGCAAGACGACACGCGCATTGTGTAGCTATATCAGAAGTTGCCTGAAATACAGGAACCAAGATTGTTGATTCTTTTTTAATATACTCATTTACCAAAGATAACACAAAAGCTTCATTGTTTTCATCACTTCTTGTAATTCCTAAATAATGCGTAAAAAGAGACGTTAAATAATGAAATTTTTGCATCTCCCTCCCCTTAATTTTTTCTATTTACCGGGTAAGTCGACCAAAGATAAATTGTACATCTGTTCTGGACCACTGATTGTAACACATACAACATTTTTTGTATAAGATAGCTCATCATCAGGTGGCAATCGTTCATTTTTAAAATTAATACTCGGATTCTGTACGTAACGTTGAGCTTCGCGCAATTTTTCTTCTATTTCTAACTCATCCAAATCTGTTATAACAGCAAAATCAACTTCACTTGGATGTATCGGCTCACGATTTTTGTTTTCTACGTAACGTAAAGATATTTTATGTAATGGTTCTTCACTTTGTAACATACGAATTTTGAAAGGGGCGACTGTACTTTTTGTGGATCCCCTATTATGAAGAAATTTTTTTTAAAAAAAAATGAAATAAAATAAATTATAATTTTTTTTCTTTACCTTGGCAATGGTAAACCACCAGTTAAACGTTGTAAAACGGTACTTTTGCCACTCGATTGATCACCAAAAACAATAATTGTTGGATTATTTTCTTCAAATTCATGGTAAAATGCTTCAAGTTTCTTTATTTCGCTCATAATGTCAATATAATCTCTTGCACTTGACGTTTCTGCTAGTGGAGAATTTAGTCGAACCATCTTGATTGAATTATTTCTCTAAATTAATGAAATTAAATTGCATTTTATACTGGTTTTTTTTTATAATTGAATTTTGAGTATGAAATTCACGGAATTCTTGCATTTTTTTAGGTTAATTACTTTTTTTTTTTTTGGAATAAAAAAAAATTTAAAAAAGGTTAATAAATTTAAGAAAAAATTTCTTTAATTCATTGTTTCTAGTTTATTCCTAATAAAGCTTTTATTAAAAAATTTTTTCAAGCATGTTTTTTATCTTTGAATGAAATTTTATATTATAATTTTACTTTTAAAATACGCCATTTTTCACACGATTAATCGATAAGGTCATGTATGCATAGAATAATGCGTAGAATGCAAGAATCCCTTATTTCTATAATGAGTAAGTATTTGTTCCAAAAGTCCCAAAAGTGTTATTAAATGAGGCAGATTGCCTCCTAATATTTAATTGTGTTACAATTGTGTACTACCTGAATCATTTAGATAAGGGTTTTAAGTAAATTCGGATAAAATGATGGCAATTACTAATATAAACTAATTGGAATACAAAACGTAACCTGCGGGAATATTTCAATATTAAGTATTAAATGAAATTTGTTAAAGTCCGAATAAAGTTAATGTTGAAGATATCATCTTATTCAGCATGTTTATAAGTTATCCGGTTTCAAAACTTGTTGATGGTAATACAAGCTTCACTAACGTGTACGGAGATATATAGGAAAATTCCGAAGAGGATGAGTCATTTTTCATTTGTAAAGTGGGACAAGAAAAATTTGGAGAAAACCTGATCATTTGATCAGCTTGGTGTTTTACATTCACATGATCGTTTGGATATGACAATGATTTTTTTTTAAATTTATATAACAGATATTAAGAACCTTTATACCCATCTTGCATTCAGAATATTGTTGTTTTGTTAAGTTTCAAGTTTCTGAACATATCGGGAGAAAATATGATAAATTTGAATTTCGCGTAAATGATAATACAATGAAACAATGTGGCCGATTAATATTTAAAAAGTAATTTTACGGCCATGATTTTAATAAAAACCGATAAAAATATTTACTAACATCTTAATTTAAATATTGAAAGTTATCGATTATTATTTAACGCAAGAAATCTTATTAACATAAAGAAAAAAAATTTTTGAAAATTTTTTGAAAAGTAGCATTTGTAACTTAATACATAAAATAGATAATGACAAAAAAATTATAAAGCTCGCTCGTTTACAATGATCCGATAAACAGGTTACGAAAGAGAATTAAAACTCAGATCAATGACCGCTCACGTAAATTTCTGTGTAATTCACTTAATTTTATTGTTAGAAATTGTAACCCATATCGATCATGTGGTATATCTCTCCAGATTCTTAGTTGTTTAAGAGCTCTAATTGTCTCTTTTTCCAACTCATCTGGGTCCACATAATTTTCTGAATTGGTAGGATTTCTTATAACGTAAGTACCATTTACAAGTTTGTGTTCCCCTTGACCTTTTACAAGAGTAGCAAGTTCAAGATGTTTTTCGTCATCATTTGGATAATCGACAATACGATCCATTTTCGTTAAGACGCCCACTGTACGTTGACCAGTAGGATCTGCTTCACGCGCAAGACGATATGCGCATTGTGTATCTATTCCAGAAGTTGCTTGAAATACAGGCATCAAAATTGTCGTTTCTTTTTTAGTATATTCTTTTATTAAAGACAATGCGAAATTTTCGTAGCTTTCATCATTTCTTACAACTCCTACGTGTAATTTTACCGAGTATTAAATTTTTGAATTTCACTCCACCATTTACTTTTTCTATTTACCTGGCAAGTCGATTATGGATAAACTGTATATCTGGTCTGGACCGCTGATTGTAACACATACAGCATTTTTTGTAAAAGCTAACTCATCAGAATCAGGTGGCAATCGTGTATTTTGAACATCTGAAATACTCGGATTTTTTATATAACGTTGAGCTTCACACAATTTTTCTTCAATTTCTTCCTCATCAAATTCAGTTATAATAGCAAACTCGACTTCCCTTGGAGATACCGGTTGATGATTTTCGTCTTCTATATAACTTAAAGAGATTTTACGTAACGGCTCCTCAGCTTGTAACAAATGAATTTCAACTATACTAAGTGTGCGTATCCTTTTTATATTGATTGTATAAGGAATAAATTTTTATTTGTAAAAAAATAAATAAATAATAAAATTTTTTCTTACCCTGTCAATGGTAAACCGCCAGTTAAACGTTTTAAAACAGAACTTTTGCCACTCGATTGATCACCAAACATAACGATTGTTGGTATATTTTCTTCAAGTCCCATCTCGCACATAATGTCAACAATCTTTTGGATTAGATACTCTTGAAAAATTTAGAGGGAGAAAAAAATCGCTAATGAAGAAAATTAAGCTATACTTATAGTCAATTCTTTTTTTGCAATGAGCACGGGTTTGATTATTCTAATCCTAATACGGGTTTGATTTATCAAATGATTATCTATAAGGCTAAAGGCTTGTTTCTATAATGAGTAAACTCAATAATGATTATTCCAAAAGTGTTATTAAATGAACGGATGTCGAAAAGTGATCTTCGGTTAGGAAGATAACGGAATGGACATATGACTTCGAATTATATTTTAATGAATTAATTAAACATGTAAAAAGAAAATTCGAGAACAAATTTTAAAATTGAATAAGAACAGAGAAGCATTCTTGAAGTATTTGTGTGGCATTGGCCATTTGTCGTGTATATAAATTGCATTTGATTCCTAACATTTAAGAAATAGGCAAAAAATAAATATTAATTTATCGTATATACTCCTGTATTGTAGCATGTTAGTGTTTATTTAATCCGATTATGATATTAAATATAGTATGGTAAATTATTAACATTCAAATATTTATTATTTTGATAAAAATTGGATTAAAATAGAATGCAAAATTAGTTGTCCAAAATTAAAATTGCTTGAGAAAAATTAATTGTCTCCAAGCTTAAAATTACCAGATATTTTACTTACTTATTTTAGAACGTCTAGAAGGACAAATCACTAGGTATGTTGGATATATGATGTTCAGAAGGCGTGTAGCTTATAAGTATACTATCATGTGGAGTGATCTAAATTTTTAATCTTACTGAGGGTTGGTAAATTCAAATAATTCTAACAATTTAGATTTTGAAGATAATGATTTAGGTTTGTTTGCGTTCTGAATGTAATTAACCAAATACACATTGGCCAAATATGAAAGCATATAACTTATTATAAATATGAATTATCGGAAATCATTTTATAATCGACTTAAAAAATACAGTTTTTAAAGAAATAGAAATGTGTGAAGAAAAAAAAAAAAATTGTTGAAAAATTATAATTGCCCAATATCATTTATAAGAACTTTTGAATGTAAAAAATTAGTTCCTGAATCATAGCTACAGAGAATGAAGCTTAGTGGCGCAGCAATTTATAACTAATTATTCTACTCTCGCGTAATATCTCTTAAACCTATATATAAAAGCTTATAAATAAAGCAAATGAATGACTTTTACATATACTTTAAAGTTCATTAGCGATTCTCATCATTTCTCTCCATTCGCCTTTTGTAAATGTTGGACTTTCTACTACATGTGGTATACCTTCACTAATTCGTTCTTTAGGCAATTCACTATCCAAATCCACACTACTTAAAGTTTCTTCTTTCAAACCCAATTCTTCCTTTCTTCTTTCCAACTCAGTACCTCTCAATAACATTAAAGGCCAAGCAACAACTTTTTCAGCACCTAAAGTTTTAGCGAATTCAATACTTTCTTTAAAACTCTCAACAGTCTGATGTGGTAATCCATAGATCAAAGAAATTTCAAATTTAATATTATTTTTTCTTAATAATGATGAATTTTCTTTAACAGAATTTAAATTATTCATTCGTTGAATAACTAATGATTCTTTTTTAATAATACTTTGTACTCCAAATTCTAATTGAATATTTGCATTTAATTCATTAACTAGCACTGAACATTTTTCAATAAATTGTGGTTTGATCATTTCAAAACGAGTTTGTAATGATAGTTTTCCTTTATATTTATATTTTATTAAATTATCTAACGTTGATAAATAATTTGGACCGGAATTAAACGTGGGATCGAGAACTGCTATGTCGTTTACCGGTGAAGAAGTTATTTCTTGGATTTCAGAAAGAGTTCGTGGCGGGGAAAGTGCTTGTCTATTTGTATAAGTATCACGATGTTGACAAAATGTGCATTTGAATGGACATCCACGTTGTGTTTCCCATCTAATAAATGATCGATTACTTAAGGGAATAATGGGTGAATTCACCAATTTGCTTTGAGAAACATTATTATCTAAACTAGAAGCGTTCTCTAAAGTTTCAACGGGTAAGAAAGGAGAAGGAAGAGATTCCATATCTACGGCGGCTTGTATTCCCAAATCAGGATGTCCTCGTTGATGTAATCCTTTAATTTTATGCAAAAGCATAGTCGGATTTGAAATATTTGATGATGTAGTGGATATAGGTCGTAAAAAACATTGTTGATGTGTTGCGAATTGGTATGATGAGGTCATATTGCCCGAACTTGTGACGTGAGTTGAAAGTGTTTCTACAACCTTAGAAACCGCTTTTTCGGCATATCCACGAATAAACAAGTCAGCGTCTGGATAATGACCTTCTAATGTATTAATTGGCGCATAGGATATCTATCGTGCATAAAAAAAGATTAATAATTTACATAAAAATAAAAATTAGTTAATATTATTTCTTACCTGAGGACCTCCTAATAAAATTAACGGTTTACGAAGATAATCAATCATAATTCGTCCTTCTCCTCTTCCTTTTCCAGAAAATCCAATCGATATGTAATCTCTCTCTTTAATTCTCTTTCTAAGTTTTTTTAAGATTAATTGAGTATGTAATTCATTCCAAATATATACACCAAAAGCAATTAAATCCGGTTCATCGTATATTAAATTCTTTACAACATTCTCACTAAATTCTTCTACGTCCGGACAATATTTAACAGAATATCGATGATCATTTAAAAATGTTAGTTGATTCGAATTATATTTCTGTAAAGTGGCAAGTATAGATGCGTGTCCTAAATTTGTTAATGGATCTTTTGGACGTATCCAATCCAATGACACTAATGCTAATCTTATTTTTCGCATTATTAGAAAACTTAATTTTAACTTAATTTTAAAAGAGTTTTATGATATGAGTGTAGTTTAAATTATTTAATTAGATTAGATGTTTTGAATGGCGTTAAATGTTTGTGTTTTCGTGTTACTTTTAAGTTACCTCTTGAACATTCGGTGCAGGAATTCACGTGGAATTGGGAATTAAAAATTTTCGGTAACATGACTTGACTTTATTTATCTCTTTATTTCGTTAATTTGCTTATCATCTGAAATATCATCTGAAATCTAAAGTTGAATTGGTCCTTATTTGTCGCGATTGTGTGTCAATTTACACGCTAATTTCACGTGCAGGGATAATTTCATAATAAATCTTCAAATAATTCCACACAATTTTCACACAATTTCCTTCCGCGCCTATTAATTAACTAATAATCTGGGCACAATTAAAACGCAATTCCCATAATATGCATAATATGCGGGCTGCGGCATTTACTATTTAGTAACGGGAGAAATCATTCTGTAGCTTATCCTAATAAAAGTTAGGTGAAATTATCACATGTAATATGCAAAATCGTGACACCGCCACAAAAACATCAATATGTATATATATATTCGTCCCTGTTCACGTGTCATAGCTTAACTTCTGCGTGGGACAGGAAAGTCACGTTATCGAAAATTTTGATAAATATCACGTTTCTTATCATTTGCGTTTCTGTAAATATTTCTCTCCTGTTTTTCTTACGCAATACACTCGATTTTTAACTAACCGACGATTCTTCAGATTTAATATACCCAAGTTTTTCTGATCTTTTAGCATATGCATACCAAGTTTACCAACATAAAATTTCTAGTTGTTTTTTTTGATATAATTGTGTTAAATCTTGTGATGTGGACTTTCCTCAGCGTCATTCATTACTTTTGATGGATTCTTCCAATAGGCACGGATAGTTCTAAATAACCTGAAACCATGCTCGCGGATGATACTTGGAGACGATTGGCTTATTGTCTTTATGATCGTCTCTTTATGATCGAGCTTGTGTATTATTATTTGTAAAGAATCATCATCATCATATCGTTTGTGAAGTCGTTGCTAATATAACTTACCGTGTAATGGGTTCAGCCTCTTATCCGGCAAGTTCCTTTCTGTAAGTGTTCGTTGCCCATGAGCGCCATCTCTCGCCAATCCTAGTGAATTCATGATAGTTTCCGGAGGAAAGCGCAGATTTTCCTTTTCATTGGGTATGGGAAATAAGAGCACGAAAGAGGCTAAAGCAAATAGAAATAGTCCGAAATTTATTGGTCGAAGTAATGAGAATCCCGAAATTTAAACAAATTAAGACATACTCTCTTGTTTTTATCTCTTTTCTACTAATTTCATTAACCACCATATTCGGTTTTGGATTAGAATGGTAAAAAATATCTTGGCAACAATCCGTCACTAACCTGATACACTAGATCTCAGATCTTCATTATTATAATATAATGATAATTTGTCGACTACAAATTAAGATTTATCCCTAGATTATCCTGCATCAATGTGAGCACGCGTTCATACGATCAAAATATGATCAATGAATGCTTCATTGACTCCTCAATTACCCAATTACCCACATATAAAAATATCTGGCAGAACTAAACTGTTAGAGCATTAAATACCCTAAGCTTTATTTAAATGGTCAATAAAAAAATAAATTACATAGTTCAAGGTCTAAGCCCGAGATACATAGTTATGCTTCTATACTAAATATGTTTTTTAAAAAATTTTGTCCACGCTTCTTGATTGCGCTAACGGGCATACTATCCCTTAATAAAACAGCGGTCTCCTCTTCATGCCTTACGCAATTCGGTTGAGTCCTTAAGTAGCGAGATGCAGTATTTGGTCTCACTTTGTGTCTCAAATACGAATTCCAGTCTATGATATTTTCACAATAATTGAGTTAATAATTTTTGAATTGGCATGAGAAACAAAACATCACATCTAAAATATTCTTTCACTATTGTGACAATACTAAATAGTCCAAATCGACATATCTATCAGATAACCAATAATTTAGTATATTACGAGAATAATTTTCGTTATGTTATGAAATAAGAGGCGTTACTTACATCACATAAACTTTTACTTTGTACTAAGTTCAGAACAATCCATTCCCCGGTTTGTTCAATTATTTCTTCAAGGAAGAAATATTGTTTGCTGAAAATTGGTACTTTCGAGAAGACTGACAGCAGTATGTAAGATAGAAGAAATGTACTCGCAACACATAGCCTATTACTGCCTACACCATATTTTTATCCTGCGTAGAATATCGTAGGTACTAAACATGGGGCCCGAAACCGAAACCTCCCGAAACCCTTTAGGTTTCGGTATATACCGAAACTTAGTTTCGGGATGGGTGTTTTTTTCCCGAAACTCGAAACCCGAAACTGACCCGAAATTCCCGAAACTTTTATATACCGAAATATAACCGAAACCTATTAATTTACTTAATTAATTTTTATTAAAATAACTAAAATTATAACAATATTGAATTACTATCTGACATTTTATTAAAAAGACTTCTCAATTAAGTCCAAACATTTTTATTTTTATTTTTTATTTTTATGTTATAAATAAACTGTCATACAAGAGATTTAAGACATTACATAATAAAATATGAATACTAATAAAAATATATAATTGTATGAAACTCCCACTTGAGAAGCCGCCCACCTTTTCAGTTATTCCCAAGACGAGAAGGCATGGCCTGCTAGTCCATAACATAGTAAGGAGTAGAAACTATACTAGGGAAGTGATATCTATATTAAAAGAAGAATGAAAATTAATAAAATTAAAAGAAAAACTATATCAGGTGAATTAATGTGAAACAGCCAAAGGCTTGAATGTAAAAAGTAAAGATGGTTATCAAACACGATATATTGAATATCGATCTATTAATTATTTAAATTGCCACGTGATTATCCAATCAACGAGTTTCTGGATATCGGGATTAGTTTCGAGATAACTGAAATTAGTTTCGGGTTTCGGGATTTATTTAGGGTTTCGGAACTTGTTTAGGGTTTCGGGTGAGGTTTCGATTCGTATATTCCGAAACCCGAAACTTTCGGAAATCCTCTCAGAGGTTTCGGGCCCCATGTTTAGTAGGTACAGACTACAGAGCTTAAATTTCGAAGAACTTTTTACCAGTCTATGTGAGAGTCTGGTACAGAAAAAAAATCAAAAAATTCAGTGTACGCACAGTGAAAAACAATCATTAAAAAAAATTAGTGTTACGTTCCTTTTTGGACACATTCAAAAATTATGTTGTAAACTGAATGATCATGTGAAAATTAATTCATAATCTGGGAAATGCCATTTGCCGGTCACATTTAATAAATGTTACACAGTAAAAGAAGTGAAATTAAATTAAATTAGCAATATTCGAATAAAAAATTAAATAATAATAATAACACATAACTGGGGCTCTTTAAGAAATTTAAGGAATTGAAAATTAAGTTTAGATCCTCAATCATATAAAAATCCTTGCCTGATAACGATCAAAATCCAAAGTGAAAACGTAAAATTATTAATACAAATGATTTTGACCGCCTGGTCACACTCGACGTCAAAATTTTTGCATCTTTTCATTACTCTTCATTGTAATTGCCATGAAACAATTGAAACATCTTCTACCAAGATTCATTAATTTGTAAGACTTACACTGAGAATTCCAAGCAAATACGGGATTTCATCATATAATAAGTTTTTTAATGTGATTATCAATACTCGACTACAAATATATATAGTTTATTTATATTTTCTCCTAACATAAAATTAATCGATATTTCCCCTAGGAAGAGTTTTCTCGTTATATTAATACAGTATACTATAAACACTCAGATTAACCGATATATGAAGTGGTATATTGTAACTTCATTTATCATTTGTTTAGTATTTCATCATTCTACGACGTAATACCTGTAAATATTAAATACGTGTTTTCTACAAAATTCTTTCAATAATCATAATAAGATCTTTATGAATAGATACATTTACTAATATAATAAAAGTAATTAATTTAAAGAATTCATCTAAAGACATGCTTCAAATTACGGCCGTTTCAACATTGATAAAATTGACATAACAAATCATATCTGATATGGTTTATTAGCTTTTAACATAGTTTGGCCAAAATAATTTAAATCATATCCTTGCATTAACGAAAATGATTTATATTCAATTCATTAATAAGAACATTATTTCACTTTTTTAGATTTAAATGTTGATTGAAGAGTACCTGTTGATAAGGTATTTTGGTAAATTAGTTGAATCATACCGATTCCGGATAATAACTTTCATATTGAAAAAAAAGTGGAGAGGAAATATCAAAAAAAAAAAAAATTTAGAACGGAAATTTTTTAAAAATACGAAATATACTAAAAAAAAATATGATTTAATACACATGTACATATAAATAGTAAAAGTTTTTATAATACTAATAAAAAATAAGATGGTTTTACTCAATAATTAATTCAGCAAATATGCAATTATTTTCTACACAAGGAAAACATTATAAAAATACATGCAAATCATCGTTCCCATTATTGCAGCAGGTAATGGTATTTGTGTATTCATTATTATACTGGACAAGTAATGTATCATAGGATTTCCATCTGATGGTAGTGGAAGTTCATTTAATTTTTCTTGAAATTCAGATCTGCGATCTTCCAAAAACGAACGTACTTTAGGCAATGACCGTTTATGTGCTTTTCTTTGTAAATAACTTAATTTCATCGTTAGATTTTGTAACCCGAATCGATCAAATGGCACATCTTCCCAGATTATATGTTGTTTAAGTTTTCTGATTGTTTCTTTTTCCAACTCTTCTGGATCTTCATGAATCTCCGAAACACTAGAAAGATTTCTTATAACATAACTACCATTTACAAGTTGATGTTCACCTTGACCTTTTACAAGAGTAGCAAGTTCAAGGTGTTTTTCGTCATCACATGGATAATCGACGATACGGTCCATCTTTGTCAGGACGCCTACAGTACGTTGACCGTCCGGATCTGCTTCACGCGCAAGACGATACGCGCATTGTGTAGCAATATCAGAAGTCGCTTGAAATACTGGGACCAAGATTGTCGTTTCTTTTTTAATATATTCTTTTACCAAGGATAAAACAAAAACTTCGTTATCTTCATCGCTCCTTGTCACTCCTAAATGAGACGTAAGAAAAAGTTAAATAATGGAATAATAAAAAGTTTTTAATCATATTTCACACTCTCCCTCAATTATTTACCTGGTAAGTCGACCATCGATAAATTATATGTCTGACCTGGACCACTGATTGTAACACATACAGCATTTTTTGTATAAGCTAACTCATCAGAATCAGGTAATCGTGTATTTTCAATATCTGTAATACTTGGATTCTGCACATAACGTTGAGCATCACGCAATTTTAGTTCGATATCTTCCTCATCTAAATCTGTTATAATAGCAAAGTCGACCTCTCTCGGAGTTACCGGTTTACGATTTTTATCTTCTATGTAACGTAAAGAGATTTTATGTAACGGCTCTTCTCTTTGTAACATACGAATTTTGAAAGGTGCAACTGTACTTTTTGTGGATTCCCTATTATGAAGAATTTTTTTTTTAAAAAAATGAAATAAAATAAATTATAGTTTTTTTTTTCTTTACCTTGGCAATGATAAACCACCAGTTAACCGTTGTAAAACGGAACTTTTGCCACTTGATTGATCACCAAAAACAACAATTGTTGGAGCATTTTCTTCGAATCCATGATAAAATGTTTCGAGTTTCTTTATTTCGCAGAAAATATCGATATATTCTCTTGTTTTAGGAGTTTTTGTTAATGGAGAGTTTAGTTGAACCATTTCAATTAAATTTTATTAAATTATCTATATTAAAGAAGAAAAAATTCAGTTGTATTTTTGAGCGATGAATTTATGGATGATTGGAAAATTTGACTTATCCCTAATACGGGGTTTATTAAAGATTATTTCGATTATTGAATGAAATTACATTTATGTTCATAATTATACTTTAAAAATGTTTATATACGCGTTCTTTTTCAATCTCTTGTTTCCGTAATGAGTAAGTCTATTTCATAAGTTTCAAAACTGTTATTAAATGAACAGTTAGTGATTTACAAAATTTGGTTTAGACTATCTAAAGCGAGAGATTATTAGTAATAAATTATACTGAACTTATGGATAAAATAATTTTTCAACGAATTTTATTTAAAGTAGACTAAAGAAACGATCAATAACTCATATGATGATAATGGTTAAACAATTATTTTTGTATTCATTGAATTCATTGATAATAATATTAGGCATTGGAATATTATCATGATTCATGAATTATTTTTAATAAATTTATTAAATGATCTTTTAATGAACATCTTTTTTACTAATGAAGTTGATAATGCGGAAATATGATATTTGAATTGCAAGTACTTGAAATTAATTAATTTTAATTAAGGGCGTCTGCGTCTCCCAAATAATAAAATGAGGTAAATTCATGGGAACTCTATATGATTAAAGTTTGAATAGGGCGAATGATGCATCGAGCACTAACCTTGAATTAATTGTTTTTATTAATGATATGCATTATGACCGTTATAATATTCTTAAAATATGAGAAATTTATAATTCGTAATAAGTGATTTTTATGAACGAGGCCACAACTTTAATGAGATTACTACCGTGTCGACGTAAATTCTATAATTACTGATTAACTAAATTTTCAACAGAAAAATAATTTTAAAACCTAGTGATAAAATGTGGAGCTTACATTTGTTTTTTAGACATAACAGTTGGCATAAATACATAAAACAAATGATAATAAAAAATTATCTGTGCTTCAAATTGTAATATGCCCCGAATCAAAATAATAAATATACAAGGGAAGTTTCATTGCTTTCATAAGAAACCGGTAATTTAGGCTGATTGTCAATTTGGGACAAACCACAACAAGTTCGTACTCGTTCATATAATTTTATTGTCAGATTATGTAAACCATATCGATCAGATGGTACATCCCTCCAAATACTAATTTGTTTAAGAGCTTTAATTGTCTCTTTTTCCAACTCATCTGGATCCTCCCGAATTTCTGAATTGGTAGGATTTCTTATAACGTAAGTACCATTTACAAGTTTGTGCTCCCCTTGACCTTTTACAAGAGTAGCAAGTTCAAGATGTATTTCGTCATCATTTGGAAAATCGACAATACGATCCATTTTCGTTAAGACGCCCACTGTACGTTGACCGGTAGGATCTGCTTCACGCGCAAGACGATATGCGCATTGTATAGCTATATCAGAAGTTGCTTGAAATATTGGAACCAAAATTGCCGATTCTTTTTTAATATATTCTTTTACCAAAGATAATACGAATTGTTCGTGGCTTTCATCGTTTCTTACAACTCCTACATGTAGTTTTAATGAGGCATAAAAAACGTATTAAATTTTTGAATTTCATTCCACCATTTACTTTTTCTATTTACCTGGCAATTCGACCATGGATAAATTGTACATCTGGTCTGGACCACTAATTGTAACACATACTGAATTTTTTGTAAAATATAATTCATCAATATCAGGTGGCAATCGTGTATGTTTAGCATCTTTAATACTCGGATTTCGTACATAACGTTGAGCTTCATGCAATTTTTCTTCAATTTCTTCCTCATTTAATTCCGTTATAATAGCAAACGTGATTTCCCATGGAGATATCGGTTGATGATTTTTGTCTTCTATGTAACGTAAAGAGATTTTACGTAACGGCTCTTCAGCTTGTAACAAACGAATTTCAACTATACTAAGTGTGCGTAACCTTTTTATATTGATTGTATAAGGAATAAATTTTTTATTTGTAAAAAAATAAATAAATAAATAAATATTTTTTTCTTACCCTGTCAATAGTAAACCGCCAGTTAAACGTTTTAAAACAGAACTTTTACCACTAAAAAGATCACCAAACAAAACAATGGTTGGATCTTCTGGTATTTCTGCTAGTGAAGATTTTTGTTGTTGAGCCATTTACTTAATTTTTCTTTGAAAAATTTAGTTAAAAAAAAAAAAATAATAATAATTTGATATATAAAGTAATTTTTGTTTTAAAGGAAGTTCAAATATATTTTACAATGAAATTTTTTTTTTATTGCAAACTATGAAATTTTCTTTGTTTCTATAATGAGTAAGTTTAATACGAATTTGGAAAACTATTAAAAAACAAAATGTATTTTTAATAATTATGATTAAAAATCTAACTTTTTAAATAGCAATCAATCAAATTTTGTTTTGATTGATGCTAATTAAAAAGTAAAATAAAATCATAATCACATGTTTAACAATATATATAAAATTTATAAAATTTAATTTAATATTACATAATATTTACAACACGTAAATGTGATATTATATCAGGTATCCTCAAATTTAACTTTTGTGAGATTTCCGGTTATCACGCCAAATCACATCAAGGAGACAAGGACGCTAACTCCGATGCGTGTGTATATGAATTTGCAAATAGATTTGATTTGGTTATAATGAAATATTAGGTAAATCTACTGATAATTTACAAAAAAAAAAAAAATAATTCATTGCTTTTTTTTCTCAGGTGTAAAATAATTATAAATAATGTATAATGAGTAATTCTAATTGTAATATAAAAACTTGAAGGCCTTACGCTCTTTTTTGAATAATTTAATTGGATGATTGGATGATTATTACCTTTCTATTCTAATAGTAAAGTCTTTCGAACAATTAAAAGTCCTGCTCAATTTAATTCATCATCATCATCATATTCACGTTAACAAATAAAAAATTAGGATATTTGATTGTGTTATCAATAAGTTCGATAAGATATTTACCAAAGAATTTTTTTTACTATAGGAAACAAATCTTTGTCCAAACCATAGAAGTAATATTTGTTGTGGCAACATAAAATTTGATTTTTTTTTTTTTTTTTTTGTCGAGATATTTTTATTGAGTTTTTAGATGAAATTGCACAAAATTGAATCATACTGAGTGACCATAATAATGTCAAAAAAATGTTCTCATTTTTTCTTATTAACAATATGATCTAAAATCATCATTACCACCTTTTCAACATTCTTTGATATCATTGTAGGATGATCAGATTCTAATATAGTTAAATCATCTATTTTAATAGAATCTGAATTTAAATTTTCTATCTTTTCATTCCCTTTTTCTAATTTATCAAGTATATGTTTATTAGCTTTAGCATAATTTGGCCAAACTATATCATCAAAATAATTTGGTGGATCAACCCAAAATCCTATTATAATATATAAAATATTAGAATATTAGTAAAAAAATTAAAAGTAAAAAATTAAAAGTAAAAAAGTAAAAGAAAAAAACCAATGTTAAAATAAACATCTAAAAAAAACATGTAAAAAACATGTAAAAAACATATAAAAGCGTATAAAAAACATATAAAAAACATATAAAAAACATGGTTAAATATTTTTACACATTTACCTTCTATAGTAACGTAAACAGATCTATTTTCTCTCCTAGTTTTTAAAGTATCATAACTAGCATTAACGAATAATTTAGTATCTAATTCATTAATAACATCTTGATCAACATATAATAAGAATCCATCTACTAATAAAATATTCCATTCATCATCATCATTATTATTATTATGATGATTATGATGATTATGATTATTATGATTATGATTATCATCATTATTATCATTATTATCATTATCATCATCTTTTTTTTCTTTTAATAAATTTTTTACTTTTTTAGATAATTCTTCAGCCAAATCATTTAATTCAATCGTTTCAATATCTTTACGTTCATTCTTACTTTCTTTAGATTGAAATGTTGATGGTAAAGTACCAGTTGTACGTAATTGATGAAGTACTTTGGTAAATTCATTAAAATCTACTGCTTCAGGACAATCCCAATTGTTTAATTTTGTTACTGGATCAATTGGAATTTCTTTTTCAGGCTTTTAAAAAGAAAATAATTGTTAGTTTTATAATATGTTAGGGGATATTATAAAAGTTGATTTTCTTTTTACCTTGAAAAAATCATCTTGATAAACTGTTTGTATATTTGGAAAGATTTTTTCTAACCATCTAACCAATGTCTATTAAATAAAAAAAAAAGTGTTATTAAATCAACTCAAAAAAAAAACAAATAAATAAATAATAATTTAATTTAATTTAATTTAATAATTTACGTACAGTTTTACCTGAACATGATGCTCCACTATCAAAAAAGAGAAAAAATACGCATATATATAAATTATAATTATAAAAATATTAATATATATTGATCGATAATAATTTAACATATAAAACATATATTATTCAATATCGATATATCGATAATAATATTATCGATAATAATTAACATAATTAACATATATTAAAAACATATCAAAACATATAGAAATCTTTTTACCTAATCCCTACTGTAACAACTTTTCTATTTGTCATTTTTTTTTTTTTTTACGTAAATATTTAAATATACGACGTAAATAAATGTAAATCAAAAATGAAAAGGAGAAAAAAAAAGAATTTTTTTTTTTCGGTTCAATTACTCAATTTAAAATAAAAAAAAAATTTCGAATAAAATTTGTTTGGAAATGGATCACCTAATATGGAATAACCTTGACGGGATTCAGTTAATATATTTAAACCTTCAAAAGAAATAAAAGACGTCCCCCCTGCATGCACATAAGATTTAAATAGCATAATTAACATTTTTCAACAATTTTTTTTTTTTTTTTTTTTTTTTAATTGATAGATATGCTTTTATTAAAATAATAAAGTGTATATGTACAATTTATATAACAACGATAAAAAAAATAAAAAAATAATGATATAATATGATGTAACTAATAAAAAAAATATAATGTCGTGATAAATAAAAATCGAAAAATGAAAATTTTGAAAAAAAAAAAGCGCTAATTAGTTGTAAAATGAAAAAAAAAAAATTTTTTTTTTTTTCCGAAGTGTTTTAAAAAGTTCGTAATTTTTTTAAAAAAAAGTTTTTTAAAGATAAATAATGAAATTTTTTTCCGCCGTGAAATAGAAACCAAAAGATTGTATCGAAATATCAAAAATAGAAAAATAAAAAAATAAAATACAAAAAAATATATATATATATAAAAATAAATGAAATATACAATAATATCGATAATATCGATATTATCATTTTTTTTATAAGAAAGTAAAGTTATATAAATACATGCAGATAAACATTCCTATTATTGCAACAGGTAACGGTACTTGTGTTTTTAATATTATACTAGTCATATTCTTTTTATCAGAACCTTTGAGTAAAGGAAAACTTTTTCCAGATGATGATGATGATGAATTAGGACTTCCACGTTGTGAGGTAGCAACTTTTTCTAACATTAATGGTCTAAGATCCATACTGCCTCTTCTATTTTGTATTGGCATATCAAATTCTCTTGCCAAACGTCCCGCTGTTTCTTCACGTAATACATTATAATGATGCCCTGATATTGGACGATGAAAAGTTATTTCACCTTGATAATGTTCCCAGCCGAAATTTGATTCATGGAATGATGGATGATCAAGTAATAATTTACTTGTCTTTCCTGCATAATCTTTTGCTCTCCAATAATGTATTGGAAATTGTTGTACTGATTCATTAGTTGTATGATCGGAAGTATAAGAATACATTGAAGCGATTAATTTTCCAATTTGTCTTTTAAATGCTTCAATTTTTGAAGGGTCCTCATTTTCGGCACGAACCATCCATTGAGAATCAGCATCATTTAATAATTGTTCAATATCATCTTTCCATATTATATGTGGTTCTTCATCGTTAGTTAGATTACGAACACTTTTTTGAAGTGGAGCAGGAGCATCAATTAGATAAAGACCACCAACTTTAACTCCATTTTGTTGTAATAATTTTGTCATTTCCCATGCAACTAATCCACCATAAGAATATCCACATAAATAATAAGGTTGAGTTTGTTGATGTAATAGGATAGCTTTTACATATCTTTTAGCAATAACTTTAATATCATCATCAACATCACTTGGAGCTTGAATTCCATATACAGGTCTGTTGATTCCAAGATTCTTGGCAAGGAGGACATAACTTGCAACATTACCCAATAAAGGATGTATACAATAAAGTGGTGAATTATGTTTATTAACAACATTCTTTGGAGCTAAAGGTATTATTATTGGATCTTCTTTTCCATCATCTTCGAATATTAAATCATTTTCTTGAGTAGTAGTGACGTGAGATTTTCTTGATTTCTTTTTATTGGTACGTGTTTCTTCAACGAGTAATTTATGAACATGATTACTTAAATCTGCAATGGTATGAACATCATATAATAATGCGGGAGCTACTTCAATACCAAAACTTTGTTTCATTGAAGCGGTCAACTGCACAGCAGCTAATGAATCAAAGCCATAATCAGTGATAAGATTTGCATTAATGTTTAATTCATTCTTTGGGATTTTTGAGGCTAATTTGGAAATCATATGTACATGACTAGTAATATTTTCTTGAATGTCTTCCAATGATATAGTAGGATTCTCATCTTCTCCCTCATCATATACTTCAGAATTTAATGTTGATAATTGTTTTAATATGTGACCGGCTAAATCAGATATTGTAGGTAAGTCTAATAAAAGAGCAGGGGCTATTTCAATACCAAATTCATCTTTAAGACAGGCTGTTAATTGAACGGCAGCTAATGAATCAAAACCGTAAGTTGTAATTAAATTTACTTTAAAATCAATTTGATCAATTGATAATTTGGAGGCTAATTTAGAGACTTTATGTACGTTAACGGCAATTTTTTGTTGAATTGTTTCTAAGGTCATTAAAGGTTTCTTTTTAGGTTTCTTTTCTTTAATATCGACTACATTCATGGGATCTTGTACAATTTCTCCTACACTGGTTATAATCTTTTTATCCATTGAACCATTAAGTAATAAATCTTTTGCTTTTGCACGTTGAAGTTTTCCACTTGTTGTTTTTGGTATACTATGTTGTTTTAATATAACAATACGTTGACATGAAAGACCATGATTTCCTGGTACAACTCTTGCGATACAATCACAAATTTCTTGTAAAAGTTCTTGTTTAATATCTTTTTGTTGACGAATTTCTACGAGGACAATAAGTGAATCTGTACCATTTTCAACATCAGTATGATTTATTGCGCAAATACATCCAGGTCGAATTGCATTATGAGATTCTTGAACTGTTAGTTCAATATCTTGAGGATAATGATTTTTCCCATTTATAATAATAACATCTTTTTGCTAATAATAATAAAAAAAAAAAAATTCGATTAATAAAAAAAAATATATAATATAATTTTTATACACATTAAAAAAAATTATATATATACTTACACGTCCTGTGATGAATAATTCACCATTATATAAGAATCCAAGATCACCGGTTCTTAGGAAACTACCATTATCAGTTATCCAATTACCATGATCATCATTATCCAATTTTGCTCTAAATGTTTCTTCACTATTTTTTTCTTTACCATAATAACCTTTACCTACACTTGGACTTGATACCCAAACTTCACCAATAGTATTTGGAGAACAAAGTTTTTTAGTTTCTTGATCTACAACTCTAACTTCAACTTGCATCATTAAATTTGGTACACCAGTTGAAACTATATTATTTGCAGGAGAATTATCATTATTACTATTAGTTAATGTATTATTTCGTACTTTAACACGACCTTCACGAAGTGGGATAGGATCAATATCAATAACTGTTGGTATATCATGAAGATTTCTAAATCCTACAGAATAAGCACAATGTTCTGCTAAACCATAAAGACATTTAAACATTGAAAGTTTAAATCCTGCAGGACCGAATTTTTTAGCAAAAGATTTTAAAGTTGACCAACGTACAGGTTCAGCACCATTAAAAGCACCTCTTATAGAATTCAAATTCAAATTTTTTATACTATTATTATCACATTTTCTTGCAGCTAATTCATAAGCAAAATTTGGTGCAGCAGTAAATGTAGCTTGATAATTTGTTATCATTTGTAACCAACTTTCAGGTTTTTGTAAAAATGTTAAAGGTGACATAACAACAGATTTACAACCTCCACGTATTGTATTTAAGAAACCTCCAATTAAACCTAAATCATGAAATTGTGGTACCCAAAAAGCTATAGTATCATCAGGTCCAAGATCTATTTCAGTTTGCATAAGGTCAACGTTATGTAATAAATTTTTATGAGTTAACATAACACCTTTAGGATCACCAGTACTTCCGGAAGAAAATTGTAAAACTGCAACATTATCACTATCAATTTCATCAATTAATTTTTCATCGAATAGATCATGTGATGAAATAATATTTTCCCCTTCTACCCAAATTAAATCTTCAGGCCATTCAATTTTTTTTCCAAAACCGAAATAACTTTTAGCAGCATATAATTTTGTGTAGAGCATATAATTTTTATCGGAAAATACTAATTTAGCACCAGTTGTTTGTGCCAAATATTTAAATCTTGCAATATCTTTATCAGCTGTAGCAAGATTTGGTGGAGCTATAGGAACAGCAATAATTCCTGCCAACATACATCCAAATAATATAGGTAAAAATTTAAGACCTGGAGCATAACAGAGTAAAATAGGATCACCAACTTTATGACCTGCGTTATTTCTTAAATAATAAGCAACACATCTTGCTTGTTTATATAATTCAGAATAAGTAATTTTTGCTTCTTCACGTAAATTAACATCTACCCAAGTGAAGGCTACTTTATCAGGATATCTTTTTGCTGCTAATCGTAAAAGCATACCCCAATTAAGATTTGAAGCGGGTTTAATATCAATATGAGGTAGAACAGGTAAATGTAATGATTTTTCATTTTTTCCTGATAAATTAAAGAAACGTCGGACCAAGTCACGTGAGTATGAAATACAATTTTCAGTAAGTTCGAAATCTAACCAGCCTCCAACATAAAAAGTTCCTTGTTCTCCTTGAACATTTTCAACTTTACTATAAAAACCTCTAGCCATGCTTAAAGATGAAACTAAGAAAAAAAAAGCAAGTGAGTTAAAAAAAAATATAAATATAACTAATTAATATTACACAAATTTTATATAATTACCATGAGGGAAAAAATCCCAACGTTGATTATAATGAATTTCTTCTAATTCACCGCCCATAGATATTATATCTTGTTTTAATAATTCAGTAACTTGTTCAGGACCAATATCTTTATTTCCATAAGCGTAAAATATATAAGTTGGAACACCTTCATGAGCACAATAATAGGCAGTCGTGTGACCAACATAACGTTTATCAGAACAATATTTCGGTATTGTTGTCATTCCAACTTTTGTTGATAAATTTTTTACCGTTGCAATAATGGTATAAAAATCAAAAGTAACAACTTGAGAGAAAAGATGGGATTCCAAAGGTGATGGGGTAGTAATGAATTGTTCAGTTTGCCGAGGGTTTGTGGCAATTATTATGTTATCAAAAGCTAATGTTTGTTCAAAATTATTGAGGGCGTTTTTTGTGGTAACGAGGATAGGACCTAAATTTTTTTGTTTTAGGGAACGATCAATGGAAATTACTTTGGAATTGTAAATTACATTGAGGTTCTTTTTAATGGGGGGAATTAACGGAAATTTTAATGGTTAAATAGAGTAAATTAGTAAAAGGTTAAAAAAAAAGTTCAACGTTAAGTAAAAGTTACATAAATTTAAAAAATTTATACATACTTTGGACATTTTTGACCAAAAATCTTGGAAACCGTTTTTAAAATATGAAATGGTGTTTTCGGAATTTTCGATGAATTTGAGGAAATAAGCAGCGGGTATATCATCCTGGATATAACCATAACCAGCACTAGTATAAGCCAAACTCCAAGCATCTTTTAAATAGGACATATTACGATCTTTTAAAAATTGAGTAATAGGAGCATATAATTCACGTTCACTTAATTGACCATGACCAGGACAAGAAATATCCAAAAAAGATTGTTTTTCCTCTAAATAATGACTTATATTTGGAAGTAATTTAGAATAAATTCCAATTTTATTTGTATCATTAACTAATATATTATTATTTTCAATATCTAATGAACGACCAGTAAATGTTTCAAGAGGACAATCAAGTTCAGAAGCGAGAGATTTAACGTTTGTGTAATTATGACCGACCATCAAAGCTCCTACGTCGTAACCTCGATTTTCATGAAAGAAAGTAGCAGATTTTCCTGCTATATGAGAAGAAGATTCTAATAAAGTTAAATTATTATAACCTTCTTTTCTTAAGAAATGAGCGATTGATATGCCAGCGGGACCGGCACCTATTATTCCTATATGGGAATTTTTTGGGATCGGTTGTGATGAATGTGATATCGATGTGTAAGACATATTTTATAATATATATATATATATTTTAAATTGATCGAAAATTCTTTTTTTTTTGTTTGAGAGGGAGAATATTTTTTTTTATTAAAATAAAAATTTTTGATTCTTTTTGTCAGGTTATATTTATACGTTTTAAAAAACCGGAATATTTATAATTTGTACAAGGGATGTGATTTTAGGTTTGGCAAATTCCAAATAATAATGCTTTGGTTATGTTTCGCTGATTTATTTATAATATTATACAAAAGGAGAAAAGTGAAATTTTTTATACAGTATTTTATAATACAAAAAAATTTAATCTTTCCCTGAAAAATTAAATTTTTGTGTAAAATTTGTAACGTTTTCCAAAGATTTCTCGTTAAAAAAAAAAAATAAAAATAAGGAGGGTTTTAAAAAAAAACTGTTCGTTTTTTTTTGGTTTAAGAGTAATAATGAATTTTTTTTTTTGAAGATCAGGATGTTTGAGGTCTTTTTATAATGGTTTTACTTCTTTTTCCTTTTTATTAAAAAGTTAATGTAAAATATGGTTCGATTATCAATTATATTATATTAATAATACTATATTTGAAAATATTTCATCTATAGAATGTATTATACTAATTGATATTGTTATATATTGTTTTACTAAAAGAATGACGATTTAACAATTATTACTGGATTTGGTTAAAAAGTGAAACCAAACAATAAATGATTGAGATACGTTTTATATCACAATATCATAATTATCACTATAATTTCTTGATCATATATTATTCTCTTATAAATCACTATGCCTTAATGGAAAAGGTGAAGCGTAAAAAAAATAAAAATAAAAAAAATATACTATTAAAAGTTAATATATGTGATATAAATATATATAATTATTATATACATATATATTGTATTAATGTATTATTAATAGAACGTATTCTATCTGGCAGAATCTTTTTTTTTAAATGTTACTGTGCCACTGTACCATTGTACCAAGTTCTTTTAAATAATCACAATTTTTTTCTTTTTTTCTATAAAAAAAATATTAGTATATTTTTTATACTATATATTTAATATATATTGATACATATCCATTAATGTATATAACTTTCATTTATGTATATGATTACAATACCTTAAAAATTCCAAATAATCTTACGTTATCAAAAAAGGAATAATATTTAAAATAATGTTTTAGGACAATGCTTTTAATTTTTTTTTTATAATCAAATTTGGTTTACAAAAATATAATGTACGACATAAATTCCCAATGTTTTAATTTTTTTTGTATTACGGTTTTGAAAATACTTTTATATATATATAATTTAGTATAGACTTAAACTTTAAAGCTCAAACTTTAAATTCTGGTTTGTTTGAGTTACAATAATAATAATTTAATACTTGCATTTTTCGACATTTTCGAAACATGAACATTGTCATGATGCAGGTACATCATCTTTTTTCTTTTTTATAAAAAAAAAAATATCTCATTTTAAAAAAAGGAGAGAAACACTTTTTTTTTTTAGGCCGAAATAAAATCTTTAGGCTGTAAATGGTGCGAACGAACAAAGAATTATAAATAATACTACTATAAAATCTTTAGCCTCAAGATTTTCTTATTACAATACAGAAAAAAAAAGAAGAAAAAAAAAAGAATAATAATAATTTAAAACTTCCGTAGCCGTTCCGTAATACGGAAAATCTTCCCCCTAATTCCTTCTTTCACTTCATTCTTCTTTTCCCCTTATAAAATGGCTCAAAATGATGGATTTTTTTAGAACCTTACCTATTTTCACCTAATTTAAACTTATATACCGGGATGTTGGAATGATAACATGTTTATGACGGAGTTTGATAGTGGTTCGTACATTGTTTAACAACAATTAGTTATAATGTTATTTACTCACCAATCGATAAAATCAAATTTTATTTCTGTCAAACAATACATATTAAAAATGGACACATGCTACTAACTAACTATTAGTATATATGTTTATACATATTAGCATATATGTTTATATAAATATGAGTATATAATACATATTATATATATATGTTTATATAAATATGAGTGTATAATACATATTATATATATTATATATATATATGTTTATATAAATATGAGTATAATACATATTATATATTTATAATTAGATCTATTATTACTTAATATGTGTAAATAAAAATAGCGTTATTTTTATTATGTATTTTAAACTTTCATTGTAAAAATTATTGTTTAATCAAAATCGGATAAATGACGGGTATGAATAAATCGAGGTTAAATAGGTTAAATAGATCTATGATTATTAATCTTTTATGGATTGATAAGACTTTTTAAAAAAAAAGTCCGAGTTGGCTAAAGATATGTAACATATGTAACGTTTGTAACGTTTTATCATGAAATAATTGAAATAATAAAAAAAAAAAAAAATCGTAAAAATAATTGTATTAAAAAAATTGTTGGTTTTTTTTAAAAAAAAACGGATGTAATTTTCAGTCAAACCTACTGTACATACTGATGTACATGCATAACAATAGATTTAGAGTATAATTTGCCCGCCCTACAAAGCAAAATATTTCCCAAAAAAAGAAATAAAAAAAGAAATAAAAAAAGAAAATAAAAAAAAATAAATAAAAAAATAAAAAAATAAAAATAAAAAAATAAAAAAAATAAAAATAAAAATAAGAATAAAAATAAAATTTTATCGTTAATCTTTAGCGAGTTTTTTTTTCAAGTTATTATTTATTTATGTTTTACCAAATTAATTTTACCAAAAATTTGAAAATTGGGGGAAACCCTTTTTTGGGATAAAAACATAATCTAGACCAAAACCGGATCACAAAACCTTTTCTTCGATCAATAAACACACATGTGTTACACATACCAACTTTGCAGAACAAAAAAAATCGCTGTCGGTGCTGTTCGTCCCAAAAAAAAATATCAAAATCCCGAAAATTTAATTTTTCTTTCTTTAATCATCACTTGGATGAAAAAAAAGAAAAATATTTACTTGTATACAACGTTACTCATTGTGAATTAATTAATTTTCTGATTTTTTTTTTAAATGAACAATAGAAAATTGCATACAATATTTAAGAAACAATTTATATATATTTAGTACAGTTTGTTATACTTTTTGGGAAAAATAGTACTTGGTTGCTACTTGCTACGATCATTTCACGTGATTTTTAAAAGAGCGGGAATTTTTAAAAAAGTAAAATTGAATAACAGATTTTCTTTCAAGTTAGCAAGAAATAGATTTATTTATTGATTGTTCTTTCGCAGAACAATGAAATCTCGCTTTTTTAGGTAGTAATTACCTGATTTTTGTAACGCTTTGTATCGCTTTAACTTCTTTTTCTTTAAAAAAAAAGAAAAAGGGGTTAAGATGGTTAATATTGTGAAAAAAATATATATTTATCATTGGTCCCATCAATACGCATTCAGTCTCATCTATCCCTAAATCTGTCCTAATCTGTCCTAATCTGTCCCATTCAGTCCTAATCCGTCCAATCTAGTTCCCATATGTGAAAAAAAAATGATTATCTCATATTCTCATTATATGTAATGCAGGTACCTGGTCGCGTTCTTAAATGTAAGGCTAAAAAAAGTTGAATCTAACGCGCATTTATCACATATCACTCACAATTAACTCACAATCATTTTAAAAATATTTCACAATCACTTCAATAACTCCCAATCACTTCTAAATCACGTAATCAAGAACATTTCAATTCGAATTCTATTCATTCATTCCATTTATTTGCATTTATTTTCATTCATTTTTATTTGTTTTCATTTATGCGTACAATTTCATCATATATCCGCGTATTATATGTTACAACTTAAAAGAGAATAACTAAAAAAGGATATATATAAGATTCCTTAAAAGGATCTTTTATGGATTCAATGGACACCTAATGAATAATGAATATGCGAATTCTGTTATACTCATTGTTTTTTCTTAATATTCTTTATTATTATTTACATTATTTACATTATTTAAAATTAACTATTAAATATTTTTTTAATTTTAATTTTTAAATTAAAACTTATATTTATTATTTTATAATAAAATTAAAGTAATTAATAACAGCATATACAGCATATACGAATAGCATATACAGCATGTATTTGATTCAACAAAGCCTTTTTTAACAATATCACTAATTGTTCTTTTTTTAAATCATTCCAGAAAAAAAAAAAAATAGGAAAACTGTATTTTAAGCCATCTCTTAATAGTCGATTTATATTATACGTTTACAATAAACATATATATACGTATATATTAATTACATACGTATATAATGAAGAAAGAGTATTTAAACAAAGAACGGCAAATCACGTTTTAAAACTTAGCCTAAAATTAATTTTTTATTATAAGGTTAAATTAGGATTATAATAAAAATGGATTTAACCGATTTTGTTAAGGATCACACGTGGGTACTATAATATGATTAATGCATGATTACGTTGCAACCGTTAAATCCCGTTACATTGTGTGGGCGCAGTCAATATATGTAAATTCTATATTTCGAACTTTTTTCTCCTATGTTGGCTTGGTAGTTGGTTTAAAAAAATATGCATATGTTCATTGTTAATAACAATTGTCTTCTTTCTTTATTTACCCATTTTGTACTTAATCAAATCCATGTTTGATTACATACAAGGAAAACAAAAAAAACAAACAAAATAATGCAAAAAAATGTATTTTCTATGTGATTGAGGCAAATTAAGGCAAGTAATTATTTTAAAAAAAATGGCCGAACTCCTAATTTAAATGTCGAAATTTTTCTTTCGGGATGTAACTCCTTAAATGAGATCATTCTTTTGAATCCTGATAAGAGATCATAAATATTTATTAATTATTATTAATATTTAATATTAAAAAGATATCAAAGTTTTCCTTATCTGCACATGATATGATATGATTTGCCGTCTTTCGGAATTTATGCAACAGTTATTCGGCCCAAATGTAGTTTACTCGGCTTAAATGTTGATACTCGGCCAAAAATGGTTCATCAAATCACATGCTTTAAATATTATTGGATACATATGATTAATTTCATTTTCAAAATGAGAATTTTTTCAAAGTTAAACAATATATAACATAAACAGGTTTATTTGACCATTGTTACTATTATTAAAATTTTGAAATTTCTATTATTAAAAAGTGA